AAAAAACACCCTCGAAATCGGAGTTCAAACGATTCACTTAATTCACCACAGCTGGTGTGAAAAGTGGTTTCATCAGCTGTGCTGCGCTGCACTGCGCTCATGGCGCATGCGCAGTGAATAGGTTCGCGCAGCTAGAATCGGGGATTCCCAGATTCCCAGTCGTGAGCAAGTCTAATCTTGGTTGTGTACACAAACAGTAAATAATCTACTCATTACATAAAATAACCTTGCTGGGATCTAGGTCTACTCAGCTATGTGTCAACCAGTGAGGCGTTCAACATTTCAAGACGGAAAACCTTCGCTGGCGGTGAATACTCGGTGAAGGCTTTGATGTGAGCTATTTTTCTAATGTTTTGTTGATATTTCATAGGCGCAAGCTTTTTATGTTATGACAGTAAATAAACTGTTTATATAATTTCATTTGTCTATTTCACCACACGTTCTCCTTACCGAGTCATTTTCTCAGTTCGATACTTAAAAGCAATGTCATTATTTAGCATTGACAGAATTTCTAACTGTGATATAGATATGTCGTTGTCACAGACAAAACTCAATGTCTGTTTTATTGAAACATATGTGTCTGCCTGCCTGTCTGCTAATGACAATATTCAACACACAACTTCGATCACTGACCACATGCAATTTGAACTTAACACCTATCAGGCTATACACCATAAACAAAACGCATTGATTTATGGCCCGAGTTCTGTCTCTGTCACATTATGTAATTACACAGACAGGCAGGTGTGATACTTGTATGATGTCTGTTGATTGCAAAATGTTATACACAAAAAAATGAGCATGTATTTACAAACCCTAACATCTCTATATACGTCTTATACACACACAATGAGCCGTGAGGGAATCAGCAAATGAACAAGCCAATGAAAGATTTCGTTACACTTGAGTGCACACCCACCCGCTCTGACGGGTTCGGTATCCCGGGTGCTTAGTTTCGAGGAAAGTAAACCCAAGTACAAAATATTGCACTTTTGATTTGCGATTGTACGCTTATAATTTTGTTTATATGTTTTTCATAATCAGCAATGAATATTATATGTCACGAATAAGTGATAATAGTGTTTTAATTATGTTTGATTTTGTGGGTGCATGTGACCTTTAAGGAATCCGTAAAAATGCAGATAGTGGTGTTTGTTTGGTCAAATGTTGTTTGAAGGCCTGAAATATGGCTGGGAGTTCTGCGGTGAAGATACTGGAGTTTAATGGGAGATTATAGGATTGTTTGAGGCTTATTTTAGGGTATGTAGATACCAAAACCAGTATTACCATTTTGTTCATTGGATCCGTCAGTATAAATGTGATGATTATCTTGTGGATTGTAATTTTGTTGTATGAATTCTTGCACTGTGAATTTATTAATATATTATGTTCAGTAAGTTTTGTGTTGGCTAGGATTTTTGGGAGTAAGCTGGAGGAAGACATTTGTAATATGGGTTTGTATTATATTCTGTAGTATATAAATCAAGTTGTTAAATTTCCTGTATTTTTTGTCCAAAAGGTTTTGGGTATTTGCCTTTGATGATAATGATTTTGGTTCTATTTTTACGAGATGTGTAGTGGTTTCCAGTTTTGTTTGTAAGGGATCGTGTTACATTTCATTGTACATCTTTCCCATTATTATTATTGGATATTTACATAGCGCACATATCCACGCACTAGTGCATGCTCAAGGCTCTGGTAGTTTTTCCCTCGATCACTGGATGTCAATCTCAACGGCACATCTTATTATCAATCTCAACTCCCTGGGGAGCATACGACTCTTGCAGCCACTAGGCGCACCGAGTTATTGCGGCTTTACCATTCGAGAGTGAGGTCCAGTTTCCTGCATTCTACCAAGGGATGTTCCTGGGAAGGCTCCAGTTATACATTTAAGTGCTTGGAATTGGATGGAGCTAAGTTTGTTTTCATGTGTTTCTGCCATATCTTGAAATATTTCGCAGCCATAAAGTAATTTAGATTTGATGAGTGAGTTATATAATAGTAGTAATGTTCGTTTGTTGCTACCCCATTAACTATGTGATAGGTATTTAATAATGTTGAGATCTGACTTGTATTTTTCTTGTATGAATTGAGTGTGTTTGTTCCACGTTAAGTGCTGGTCTAGGATTAGACCTAGAAATTTTACTGTATCTGATTGCGGTAATTTTTTATTGTTAATATAAAGATGTACGATTTGTTTTCTTCGATGTTGTGCTTTGATTACTGCAGTTGTTGTTTTAGTGGTAGAAAGTTGGAACCCCCATTGGTTGGTCCAGTTTTCAATATGGTTTAGTGCATATTGAATTTGTTTTTGTGCTTTGTGTATATTTTTTTCATTAACACATATTTCTCCATCGTCGGCAAACTGGGGTTGTTGAATATATCATCAACCATAATATTGAAGAGGGTTGGTGAGATGATACTTGAAGGGAATTATCTCAAATTACTTGTCCCAGTTTGCTATCTCCAACACTATTACAACTGATATTATTACGATTTGCAAATCTGTCTACTCACTATGTACATCAGGAAGCTAAAAAAGCTAGTTCAACATTTAATTCATCTCAATTATTTAAAATGGGTTATTAAAAGCCTAATAACAGCACAATCTTATTCCCTTCTCATCTGTATACTCTGCGGAGCTGAATCTCGCACTGTATACTCCACCCTGTAATCTTTCCTTTTGGGTCTGTTCATTATACCAGGCAGGTAAATGTCGCATGTTGTGTTAACTAATTGTAGGGCTACTCGGCTGTAGGGTTTATGGGATGTAGGGGTTTTGGGAGACAACCGTCGAGTGCGTAGCTCGAGACGCAAATTCATCGACCAATCAACAGCGACCAGGCCGTGGTGTATTTGGACCAAGCTCGAGTGATTGGATGAAGTAACTGCTTTGTACCATGCCAACATTCTGCATTCAAATTCTGCGGGATTTTTAAATTTAAAATCATTCTGTTTGAGACTGCTGCCATGTCTAGTCGCGAGTGGGATAATACTATAGACGACATTACACTCTCACAAATAGTTGACAAAACTGAAGGTGCTAAACTCCGGGATGACATCTTTCACAAGCTGCTGATATAATGGAAACTAAATCTACCGTGTTAGAGGGACTGACCCAGTTATCAGTGTCCAAGTCGGGCGTGGTAACTGTGGTCTGGAGGGTGTTGGTAAGGGTGCGGGTCACAAGGACGTCTAGGAAGGGCAGTTTGTTGTTGGTTTCTGGTTCCATGGTGAATTTGATGAAAGAGCACACAGCATCGGTGAAAAACTCGGACATGAAATCAGCGTTATCAGAACATGTCATCAGAACTCCCTGCCATGACATCAATTGGGATGACACTGACATTTTCTCCTTCAACATCAGCAATTGGCGGAAAATGAAATTGATGGAGGCCATCTGGATCCACCGCACCAAACCTGAAATCAACAGGGATCAGGGTGTTTTTCTACCGAATGCACTGGCTTCTAATGTTATCCATTGTCACTGGTTTCTACATGTAATCCCTTGTCACCACTTTGTTAGAGAACTTCCCTGTTAACGTCTTGTTGTTCTTGTTAACTATTTTACTGTATATATATTTCAACCTGTTTCAGTCTGTCTCATACTTGCTTGACAACGATACAAGAATCTGAATCGAAACGTCGCATCATCCGAATAGAGAATTTGTTCATCCATAAAGTCTTGTCCTTATCTGATTCTCTAACTTCTAAATATGCCACTTAAAGAAGTTAAATCTACCGTGTTAGAGGGATTGACCCAGTTATCAGTGGCGAAGTAGGGCGAATGTGCAACTATTTTTATTATGGAATGCGATAACCTAGTATATCCCTTAGCTGCTTCAGTGTTACTTATGTATAAAAGTGATGGGTGAGTGAACAGTTAAGATTTAACGTCACATCGGCAATATTTCAGCCATAGCTATGAAAAAAAAAAAAGAAATTATTATAACGTATGGTATTACACCACCCATTGTTTCTCTTTATGTACTATGTGTGTATATAGGTATATTTTATCTATGCATTGTTTTATGGATTCTCGTAGGCCTGTAAAGGCCGGGCAGATGTTTTATATGTGATATTTAATTTTTAAATATGATGTAAGACATTTGCGTGACACAATAATAAAATCTCTCTCTCTCTCTCTCTCTCTCATATTCGGCATGTGTTTGTACTGTTGTACCATAATACGTGGTAGAACGAGAACATTGCCGCTTTGAAAGAATATTCACGGGGGCTTCCTGTCATCTGACAGGAAGCGTCCACGATATGGCGGCCCAGAGCACGAAGGGCCTTGTCATGATTATGACAATTATTATTATTATTTGGTTAAGGTATATCTCGAGTATGCCCCTCTATGTAATGCTGTAAGGAAGCGAGGTGGTTCAGTTTGGCCTCAGTTTTACTTGCGTGTAATGTAATCAGATATCCATTCTCTAATTTTGTTTTAAGTGTTTAATGTTCATATATATTTTAGCATAAGTTTTACCCCAAGTGTCTTAATACATGGCACTTTGCATCCAGCCTCAACATTGTTAGCACATTAGTCGGTACAGCAGCGCTCACGTGAAACATGGACTAAGGTGCCAAGGAAAAGACAGAGATGTTATGTAACTCCATTCCATAACAGCGAGATTTGTTTTCCTGTTGGTTTTGAAAGCTGGTCACGTTAAAAAACTAAACTGAACAAATCTAAACATGATTGGAATATGCAAAATATATACCAAATCTTAATCGTCACATACAATTGCAGACAAACTTGACATGAGAGGCGGTGGGGTAGCCAAGTGTGCCTACACTGACAAACCTTTACAAAACCGTTAGAATAGTCCAGGTGGCATGGCTGGGATGGACGTGTATTAGATGTTTCAAGGCCGTTTTACGGTTGTGAGAAACAAATATTTTTTTCAGGGATCCTACGAACTCCGCGTTTCTGTATCCTGTATCAGAGAGTGTGTATTGTACAGAGATATTCTTCGGGAAATCATGAACACATTCCCCGATAAGACACAGCGCCATTCAATGCCGGTGTTCTGAGCAGCCCCGAGCATGTTTCATGTTCTGCTGTTTGGAATGATCTGCGTGTCTCACTGTCTTTGTAAGTACATTTTGTTCTGGCTTATCGTATCAATTATTAGTTTGTATTTATCTTTGTCAATATTATACTTCCTTGTTGCAATGAGATGGTGCAATTTGAAGACTTTGACACGGGGTCAGGTGTGTTATATGTTAGAAACCTGTAGGTTGAAGTCCATACGTCCATTAATACAAATAGAAAGGGTATATAATTTCAGATATATTCGGCAGATTTATTGTGTCATTCAATGCCTCTCGGGACAGGAAATAAAGATATGAATACACAACAGACAGCCTTCTGTCCTCGGGGCTTTACGCGGAGGAGAGTGACGAGTGTTGTACTTAGTACACGCTTTGTGTTATATCCGGCAGATGTACTGCCACCGGTGGATAATGTCGGTACGCTCTCACATATTTTCAATGTGTAATGATAGCAGCAGCATCAGCATCAGCGGTAATGACCTGATCGACGAGCTAGATAGTATAGCTATGTTTTTTGGCTGTATTAAAAACCTCACATTGATTTACCCACGGCAACGTCATGAACCAACGATGGATAACGTCACAAACACGAAACGTAGGCCAACCGGTTAAGTCGACCGGTAACTGGGAAAGCGACTATTTAGTCGCTGAATGTATCACGAGTTGATTCCCAAGTTGAACACTAAGTTAACTGGCAATTAGACCGGGCAGGAATACCGTGTAAAACCAATGAACAAGAGAGAAACATAATATAATTAACACTTGTATTAAACGCGTAACTAAGTTTAAAAACCAGTACAAATAAGTACTAAGTTATTACCATAACAGAACAAATTTTATAAAAAAAATCTGTACAGTAATTATGATGGAAAAGACAGTAGTGATACGATACACCTCAGTGAAACAGTAGTTGATCTTCTAAAATAGTCCTAGACCGAGAATCCAGGATGAAACGTGATCTTCACGCACCTGCTGGTCATCATGTAATGCGAGGGGCCACAAGCGTGTCCCTTGTATAGTGTGTAACTGCTCAGGAGGTTTCCTACATAATCTGGGGTATATGCTGGACCATACCTCTCAGTCAGAATAGATCACTCCATTGTCCCGTACTGACGGCAACTACAGATTCTGCTAAACAATGTAATACATTTGAAACACTTTTACTCAACGAGTAACACGTAACACTGTGTGTACGTACAGTGCTAATGATTGTAATTTTACACCCATTAAAAAAACTTGACTTCCAATTTTTAAATTTTATAAAATATGTAGTTAATAGTAAACCTTCACGCAACACAAGGCAGCCAGCTAAAACATGTAATTGTAATTTGCATGTAAATATTATACCATGTACTGTTTTATCATGTGAAAAGTAAATAATGTAATTTGTATCATGTAAATATTATACCATGTACTGTTTTATCATGTGAATAGTAAATAGCGTAATTTGTATGTAAACATTATACCATGCACTGTTTTATCATGTGAATAGTAAATAAATCCTTTTTGTGTCTAACTGCTCAAAAACATGGAATCATATTTACATAATGTTACTATTATTATTACATATATATCTTATATTATTACTGAATAAGTAATTGGAATATCCGCTTTCAACAAACTTTCATTCACACCAAAGTCTGCCTATATATTTAGGAAGCATTATTTCATCACCGAGGATGCATTATTTCGTGACCTAGGATTATTTGATGGTAGAGGATGCACCAAGTCTTAACAAAGGAGTACTATTTCATGATGGAATACACATTGTTCTGGGTTACGAAGTGTCACTGTAGGAACAGATGTTTTGTATCTGTTTTTGTTCATGGATTATGATGTGATAATACACATTGCTTTGGGTTGCGAAGTATCACTATAGGAACAGAAGCTTTGTATGTGTTTTTGTTCATGGATTATGATGTGATAGAATACACATTGCTCTGGGTTGCGAAGTGTCACTGTAGGAACAGATGTTTTGTATGTGTTTTTGTTCATGGATTATGATGTGATAGAATACACATTGCTCTTGGTTGCGAAGTATCACTAGAGGAACAGATGTTTTGTATGTGTTTTGTTCTTGGATTATGATGTGATAGAATACACATTGCTCTTGGTTGCGAAGTATCACTAGAGGAACAGATGTTTTGTATGTGTTTTTGTTCATGGATTATGATGTGATACAAAACACATTGCTTTGGGTTGCGAAGTATCACTATAGGAACAGACGTTTTGTATGTGTTTTTGTTCATGGATTATGATGTGATAATACACATTGCTCTTGGTTGCGAAGTATCACTATAGGAACAGATGTTTTGTATGTGTTTTTGTTCATGGATTATGATGTGATAGAATACACATTAAAATATGCAGGGAAGCATTGATGCGTGAATCAAATCACAATTATCTGATTGCCGGAGGATTATTTTGTGATCGAAGATGAATTATTCTGTGAACATAAATGCTTGATCGACTACTCACGTACAAGACCTTCTAATGCTGTGATAGCCGAGGCATTACTTCAAGTCATACCATGCGTATTGTTGCAGGTGGACGTATAAAACTTGAACCACGCTATGCATACACTACACAGGGAAACAAGTTCATCTTCAACTGCCATGTACAGACGGGCGTCCACGGTTTGGTTATCTTCAAGGGGGAGAAGTCTCATGGTACTGTCTGCTCAGTGGGAAGTACAGAGAAACAGACCATGAGTAGCACGGACTACGAGTGTTCCCATGTAGACGAGAACACCTATCTCCTGATCATCAGAAATGTCTCTGCGACACATTTCTCATCATGGACTTGTCAGTCTGGTGGACAGAAGAGTAACACCGTCACTTTGAACGTCACATGTGAGTAGATTGTCTAATGTGTGTGCCGTAAAACATACTGAACATGGAGTTTAATTATATAGAACCATTACACATGTATTATTGTGAACAGTATGAAAGAAGTCTTCAATGCGTCTACTTTGTGAGCTGGGTTTCGTATGTGATTAAATATTTCAACTACAAACCTAAATATTTGTTTTAAAGAGTATTTTGCGAGAATATCTATAATTTCTGTGGCGCGTCATGTCAACTGTCTCCAGCATACGCCTCCAGACTATTGATGACGACAACCTAAACCTATTGCTAGTGACAACCGGAACCTATTAATATTGCTCATCTGGGCCTTTTATTATTGACTACCTTGACTCCCTTAAAACTATTACATATAACAGAAAGAACCACTAATCACGAATGTTTGTTTTTTTATATATTTCACAGTCACTTGTCAAAATGTCGAAAGTTTAAACATCAACAACATGTTGACAACAATTATACGTTAATAGTCGTAATAACAATTATATGACATTCTAAGATGCCTAGCGGTTAGTACAATCGAAAAGAAAATACATTATCAGACAATAAAGGTATAGTTTTTTTGATGACGTAACAATTGAATGACGTTATCCCGTCACTGCGCCATTCTAGTGTGCCCCCTCGTAATCGAACCATTTTACATTACGTCACAATGTAAGCGACGTCACGATGCATGTCAGTTGTCATCGCCTCGTACGGCCTCCTACAGTAAACTACACCGTTTCATCCAGTTTCTTGGTTTGCAGTTCCTTCACGCAGCTAACATCACTGTTTTACGACGGTTAAAATGTGTCATTTCGACTCACAAGTTTTCAGCGACACGGTAACGTTCGTAATGTTTACATTCCCACAATGCAATTGTGGAATGTCGCTTGACTACTCAACTTCCTCTGGATGTACTGATCTAAACTTACGCTGGTAGTAGAAATGCAACGTTCATATTGCCCCATATGGTTTACGTTAATGACAGATGTAATTAAAATAATTCAGAGAAGATATTTAATCCGAACGTAAACCGTCATCAAACTGTTATCATTTGTTTTTTTCTGGTAACGTTCGTCTTAACGTAGGGGGGGCAGACACATCAATAGAACAGCGCGCCAGTTAGCCCTGTGCGAGGATTCTTAATTTAGGTCACCGAAACCGTCGTTTGTTTTCTGCCTTAAATTAATCGTAATTATCTTTAGAAAGTATTAAATTTGGCATCTTAGAAAAAGAAATACACTTCGACCTACCACCATGTATAGTGTAATAAAACACACTTTCGCCCTGAACTATTATAACGTTAAAGCACTCGGACGCAAGCGTCCTCGTGCTTTAACTATAATAGTTCAGGGCAAAAGTGTGTTTTATTACACTATACATGGTGGTAGAGCGAAGTGTATTTCTTAAGTATATGGTATCAATAAAACTGATATAAAAGTACATGTTGTAATAACAATTATATAAATGTATATAGTGTTTATAACCATTATATGACAGTATATGGTGTTTGTAACAATTATACCAAATTATATGGTGTTATTAATAACTATTTGACAGTATATACCGTTAGTAACAAATACATATAAGTACATGTTGTAATAACAATCATATGGCTGCACGTGATGTTAATAACAATTATATGACAATATATGGTGTTAATAACAATTATATAATGTATATAGTGTATATAACCATGATATGACAGTATATGGTGTTTATAACAATTATACCAATTTATATTGTGTTATTAATAACTATATGGCAGTATATGCCGTTAGTAACAATTATATATCAGTACATGTTGTAATAACAATCATATGGCAGCATATGGTGTTAATAACAATTATATGACAATATATGGTGTTCATAACAATCATATGACGGCATAGGTGTCAATAGCAATTATATGACAATATATGGTTTTAATAACAATTATATGAGAGTATGTGGTGCTAATAACAATTATGCGACTATATGTGGTGTTAATAGCAATTGTATTAGGCATATTATTTGCACATAATATGAACTTTGTTTCAGATCCACCTACGGTTGCTATAGCTAATGTCGATTCACGGCTGGCATTTGTATATTTGCTTGGTGAGAACTACACATCTTTGAACTGTTCAGTCACAGCAGCAAACCCATTCCCGTTTAACTTTACCTGGTACCATGGAGGGAAGGTTGTTGGCAGAGATCAGATCTACACTATACCCACAGTGAAAAAGTCTAGTTCCGGGCTGTACAGATGTGTCGCTGACAATGGGATATTCTCACCTGGAGAGGACAGTGTTACAGTTGACGTGCACTGTAAGTACAATAGTATGGCAAGGTCTTAGAAGGACAGCTTTCCGTGTGTAACCCATTGTCCCATGTTAAACTGCTGCACTGTATATCGATGGTACTATATCTGAATAACATCCCTGACAGGACATTTCACCAGCCACTTCCTGTATTTCTGAGTTTGTTCGATGTTCATATCATTACTTGTCACATGCCAGTAAAAGAAAAGGTGTGATAATCCGGCGATTGAGGTTAACATTAAGGGCTCGAACAATGTCTGACAACCGATTCATTTTGAGACTGTTCTGCCAAACATATGTTACCGGGAACCAGTCATCACAGACGCTGGAAACATATGGTGTTTAAGAATTAATGCATTATGTAATGTGACTGTTAATACACTTCCAGTTCCGCCATCTGTGAAACTAACACCAGTGCTGCCTTGCTCAGGATATACTGTCATCTTTGGCAAGAGGATTGTATCTCTAAACTGTTCCGTGACAGCCGCAAACCCATTCCCGTCTAACTTTACCTGGTACCATGAAGGGAAGGTTGTTGGCAGAGATCAGATCTACACTTTACCCACAGTGTACAAGTCTAGTTCCGGGCTGTACAGATGTGTAGCTGACAATGGGATATTACCACCTGGAGAGGATAGTGATACAGTTGACGAGCACTGTAAGTATCAAATGTGATATGTTGTATAAACTGCGGACCTGTTTGTTTTATAATTTTATGTCATATACCTATGTTTTACTGTCGATCGTATGTGGTATAAGATGGACTAGAATATCTCAAAGTAATAAGAAAGCACCTTGGAGGAGTGAACGATCAATAGCGTTGACATGATAGACTCTGTAGGATAAACGGATCCTGAAACCCATCTGGGATTCGACCAGCGAATCCAGACACAGATTCACATTGAAATGCCTCAGGCCACAGGGCCACCAGTTGTCCCCAGACCAGTGTTTTAACACTTCAGAGTGATGTGAAGGGCAATATGTAAATTAGCTCAGGTGGTGCAATTGCATGTGGTTTCGATCACTGGCCGAGTCAGACCAAATTACATTATAACCCCTTACTTGTTACTGTGAGTGTCGAGTTAGGAGGCAGCATGATTTGTAGTGTATTGTACTAGTTGGCTAATAAGTGAGACAGTGTTGTAATGATATTGACATAACACTGAATTCCAACCACCCATTCCATAGATCCACCAACCGTCCAAATTGGCCACACCCAGATAATGGTCAACGAATCAGAAGATCTGACCATCAACTGTACAGCAGATGCACACCCGAAAGTGACGTCACTAGTGTGGTCAAAGGAAGGCGTAGGACCAATAATCTCTGAAAATGGGACTCTTCATCTGAAAGACATACGGAAAGGAGACAACGGGGTATATGTCTGCACCGCCACCAATTTTGTCACAACCTGTAGTGGAACACGACAGAGTAAACAATCGTCCAGAACTGTCACAGTACATGTATTATGTAAGTAACATCAATTTATATTAAGGCTTCCTGCGTCCTTTGTTCAGACTCCGTTTTCACTGAGTGTACTTCCTTGTTCCTTGTGTATGTGTTCTATTGTTCTTGACTTCCGTATCTGTTGCTTATACTTCCCGTGTCCATTCCTTCTCCTGCTTGTTCATAACTGTCATGAGACCGCATGGTTCATTGTGGAACAGTCCTATATTAGTATTACATAGTTCTGTGTGCTAGTTACTATATTTAGATTGGTGTAGAGACTGGTCTTGGACGTTCTAGAGGATCTGTAACATTCCAGTATTGTCTGAAACAGTTAGACAACCTTAGAGAAAGAATCGACTTTGTTTATAGCGAGCAAGCGTATAAACCACTGACCGATATAACAAGAGTTTAGATCGCAACCACCTGGTGTCGACTTTGGTATAACGAGCTACGGTTATGTATACTTATGGATAACCAATAAAGAACGTGTCAACGTAAGACACTTACATCTTACCCCCAGACCAACAGCTCTGTGAAGATCTTGAGCACTGTTTCTTAGCCTGGACCTATTTTGTGACCTTCACCACTGTGTCGGCTTGGTTCACAACTCATTCTTATATATGCAGATTTTCGGATGTTTGAACTTATTTCAACTGTATGGACTAGGGACACACAATAGGAACTCGTCCGATATAGCTCACAAAAATATCCCAAATGTTTTGGATGATTATGATGCTAAACAGAGAGAGGTTTGTCAGATAAATTTCCACAGAACAAGTCTCTATCCTCACAACAAACTAGACATCAAGTAAAAGCTTCAGAACTCGTCTATGGTGCTTACAGGCAAACGTTTAGATCCGCTACGGGAAAGGTTGGCTAAACTTTTGCTGAGGTTTCCATCATTTGTGTGATAGTTGGTACACTTGAACGGAGGTTGATCTGTAGACTGAAAATTCCAGCTTGGGTTATCAGCGCTTTAGTAAAGATTTTCACTATGCTTGGTTTACTTAACACTATTCTAGTAAGACTATTAAAACGTCAGATTAAAGCCTACGTGCTGTGGATTTACATTGGTACACCACTACCTGGAGGTAGAAAGCGTTCCCTTTGTAACTAATAGCTTTGTGCAAGTTTAGACGAATATATACGTTTGTTCTTGCACATTTGAAACATAAAAAGTGTTTTAGACCCCAAACAGTACATATATCAAAAGTAACTAATTCATTTTTTTACATCGGGTAAATCGATAATGTGCAGGTACTCGAATGAATGCAAATCTTAACAGTTTCATTAACTAGTTCCAAACTTCCACATGTGAAACCTGTACTTTTCGTGTATGTTGCTGCCTGGTATATCAGTGATACTCTATCTACTGTGAATGCCTCTATGTCACACGTGTTCTAAATGGCAGGATTTATGCATTTGCAATAAGCATGGCCCTGTGTCCCATGATTTGAGTGTTCAGTAAATCTAATGGCTTTATTATCCAGCCACGATCCCTCTTTACCTGGTCGCCACGGCAGGAGCAGCAGCTGGACTTGTAGTCGTAGTCGTTGGTGTCCTCGGACTATTGTATGCAAGGAGACGACATCATAGAGTGAAAGGTAATCTAAATGCCGAGTTCATGACATCTTGTCTACAGTGTGTTTACTGTTGTGTGGAGTACAGTACATCAGGTCTGTCCCGTGTTTACTAAAGGACAGAGTACAGTCCATATATGGTCTATCCCGTTTATCGATGGGCTGAGTAGGCTACATACGGCCTACCGTTTTTACGACTAGTACTATTACTACTAATAATAGTGCATTTATAAAGCTCCTAATATCCACCATAGAGATGCCCAGTGGCGCTGTGACAATATTGGGGACGGAAACAGTTCATATAACTGTAGAGGAAGGCAGCAGTGAACAGATGAGTCTTAAGCAGAGATTTAAAAGTTTCTTTCGATGACGTGTTCCTGATTTCCTTTGGAAGAGAGATCCACAATTCAGGGCTGGCAAATGAGAAGGTTCGATCAGACAGTTGGTTTGTTGTTATGCGTTGGGTTCAGGAGAGAGTCAACGGAGGATTGGAAACTTCGCTGGGGTACATACACGGAGATGAGTTGTTTGAGACTGTCGGGAAAGTTATCGTTGTAGAAGCAGTCATGAGTCAGAATGAGGATTTTGAAGGAAATTCTTGCCGAGATGGGGAGCCAGTGTAGAGACTCTAGTACTGGTGTCATATGGTCATGTCGAGGAGTGTGGGTGATACATCAGGAAGCGGAAGTTTGGATTCTTTGTAGTTTCTGGATTGATTTAGTGGAGAGGTTGGCATATAGTGAATTACAGTAGTCGAGTTAAGAAGTGACAAGTGCATCAGAAGTTTACAGGTGTCAGTATCGAGATAGTGGCAGTCTTTGCTGATAATGTAGATGTTGTAGTAGCAGGCTCTACTGATGGAGGTGATGTGTGCATCCATGGACATGTTAGAATCGAGGATGACACCAAGATTCCTGGCACTCTCTGGTGGTGGGACGTCTGTGTCGCCAATACGAAGTGAAGGTGATGGAGAAGCAGTCTTCAACTTTATAAGCTGATGTTTGGAGCCGATGAGTAGGAACTCTGTCTTCTCCTCATTCAACATCAAATAGTTGGAGATCATCAAAGATTTGATTTTCTGAATGCAGAGCTCAAGTTTATTGATAATGAGTGAAACATCATCTGATTCAAAGGCAATGTGGAGAGCTGCGTATCATCCGCATATATGTGGAAACCAATGAAATGCCTCCTGATAGTGTCACCAATGGGAAGAATGTAGACTGTGAACAGAAGTGGGCCGAGAATTGATCCTTGGGGAACACCACATAACAATGGTGACTTTGATGATTGTACATCTCCAATTTTTACAGATTGTGTGCGACCTTGCAAATATGAGGAAATCCACTTGAGCGCAGTCCCTGTTATCCCATTGCGATGTTTAAGTCGATGCAGGAGAAAGGTATGATCTATGGCATCGAAGGCGCTGGATAGATTAAGGAGCATGAACGCTGTCACCTTCTTCTGGCCCATATTGACAAGGATGTCGTAGTGGATTCTCACCAAGTCTGTCTCCGTACTATGAGCTGTCTTGTAGGCTGACTGGAACGATTCTGCGAGGTGGTTTGTCTCAAGATTCGCCTTCAGTTTGCCAGCTACCACTTTCTCTAAACAATTAGATAAAATGAAAGGTTGGAAAATTGGACGGACATTTTTCACATTGTTTTCATCAGAACCTGGTTTCTTTAGAATTGGCGTGACAATTGCATGTTTGAAAACACTTGGAACAGTACCAGTGGAGAGTGATGAATTCATAATGTCCCAGACTGCAGGCGCTAAATAGTGTAGCACGGACTTGAACAGCCAGGTAGGAATGGGATCCAGTGGTGAAGATTTAAATGGTACATTCTTCATGATATCAAGTGCGAGGTTGACAGAAACGTGTCCGAAGCTTTCGAGCACATTACCAGAGAACTTGCTCTCATCAGGAGTAGAACTAGTTTGACTGTATCCTGTATCAAGATTAGTTCTTATCCGATGTATCTTGTCCTTAAAGAATGTAGCAAATTTCCCAGCCAGAACAGTTGGAGCACTGTGCTCTGGAAGCTTGTGTCCAGAGTTACCCTTTAGAAGTTGGTTCAACAGTTTGAACAATTCTTCTGACTAAAAGACAGAGAACGTTCAGTTCACTGAATGTGGGAGTATAGTACATCCGGTCTGACCTGTGTATGTTTAAATGGTAGGAAGATTCTCCTCACTGCAACTCATTTATTCACGGGTTGGTGTATATAATGGCATTCTGCTGTGTCAGATATCGATGTATTATGTGCGCTAATGGTATCTTTTCAGATGCTGCAGCAACAGCTGTTCAAGACGATGACGACAACGCCCTGAATGACCAACTTTACACAGAACCAGGTCAGGACTACCTAGACCCAATCGCCCAGTCAACACCTGAAGATAAGTATACCACTCTGACGGATCGACCTGGTAGAGATCTGTTCTACACAGAATTGTCCCCTTTACAAGAACCCCCATCTGGCTCCAAGGCGCCTTCTGATGCCCTGCCAGCTATCGGTGACTGCTTCCCGAGCGTTGTAGACAATGGTAGTCATTATGAGACCATGTTACCGCCTATAGTTGGAGCGACTGCAGTGTGAGAGAGTAATCATGATAAGAGGCGGGGATACATGGACTAAAGAGAGTGAGGGATGACAGGTGGTTGGGATGCGTGACAATAGGAAGGAAGGGACGACCAAAGCATTGGATTCATAACCGGACCGAGGGAATCATGACAATAAGGTATTGCTGAGGGGGAGGGGTTGGGGACGCAATTCAGCCTTCTTCTTCTCCCTTCTTCACGTCACAAGTTGTTGCCTCTAACCACTGCACTTGTCCACTTGATGCACTGGGATAGGTATGAGGTCACTCAACGTTAATTATGATTGTTTGTGCTATTAAAAGTGGATTGTACAAATGAGTGACATTCTTGATGACAGTTACCTGATGTCGAACTTCAGAGAGTCTGTTGTTACTTGTGCAGCACAGCTTCCGTGAATATTTCATCGTATGACCTTTGTTCACATATGGGGGCGGTGGGGTAGCCTAGTGGTTAAAGCGTTGACTCGTCACGAGACCCGGGGTTCGATTCCCCACATGGGCACAATGTGTGAAGCCCATTTCTGGTGTCCCCCGCCGTGATATTGCTGGAATATTGCTAAAAGCGGCGTAAAACTAAACTCATTGGGTCAGTCAGTTGTTCACATATGAACGATGACGCCTTTGTTATCATATTATCTTCACTACATATGTTTTCATGTTATCAGCACTATGCATGTTATTATGTATTCAGCACTATATATGTTATCATATTATCAGCACTATCGTTGTTATCACATTATCAGTACTACTTTGCTTTTCTTATATCATTAACACTGCCTTTGTTATCTATCATCAGTGAAGTCTTTCGTCGTACTATTAGCACAGTATATGTTATCACATTATTAGTACTACCTTTGTTATCATATTATCGACACTGCCCATGTTATCATATAACCAGCCACGCCTTTGTTTTCATGTAATGAGTGCGCCCTTTGTTATGATTTCATCAGCACAGTATAATGTTATCACATTATCAGAACTACCTTTATTATCATATTATCAGCACTACGTTTGTTCTCATATAATCAGTGAAGTCTTTCGTATCATATTATCAATACAGTATACGCTATCACATCATCAGCATTACCCTATCAGAGAGGCCTTGGTTATATAATCATAACGGTATTATGTTATGTTAACAACATTTTGTTTCTCAGGATACTATCAGAGAAGCCTTGGTTATATAATCATAGTGGTATTATGTTATGTTAACAACATTGAGTTTCTTAGGATGCTATCAGGGAGGCCTTGGTTATATAATCATAACGGTATAATTATGTTAACAGCATTGAATTTATTAGGATACTATCTGAGAAGCCTTGGTTGTATAATCATAACGGTATATGATGTGTTAACAGCATTGAGTTTCTCAGGATACTATCAGAGAAGCCGTGGTTATATAATCATGATGATATATGTTACGTAACAGCATATAGTTTCTTAGGATACTATCTGAAAAGCCTTGGTGATATAATTATAACGGTATATGTTATAACAATATCAGCACTACCTTTGCATCATCTTTTCATTACGGCTCATGATACCATGATATTATCACGATATATATTATCCAATATTTAACTCGACAAACTTGTATCTTGCTCATGTATCAGGCTAAACTATGATAAACATTGAAACACTAAATTATTTCTACTTAGTAAAGCCAGTTCCATTGTTATGTAGGAAGTGACTATAATCTAAATAATGTTAATAAAAATATATGCAAAATTAAATAATGTTATGTGGTAAGTTTATAACACTGTACATGCGGATGTCCAGTGGGGCAGTAGTGTGCTGTGTCCCGGAAGGTACTACAGGATACGACAACGATATGGGTTTTTGCACTATATTATGAGCGGGGCAGTAGTGTGCTGTGTTCCGGAAGGTACTACAGGATACGACAAAGATATGGGTTTTCCCACTATATTATGAGCGGGGCAGTAGTGTGCTGTGTTCTGGAAGGTACTACAGGATACGACAAATATTTGGGTTTTCCCACTATATTATGAGCGGGGCAGTAGTGTGCTGCGTTTACAAAGATCTGGAAGGTACTACAGGGTACGTCAACGATATGGGTTTTCCAACTATATTAGGAGCGGGGCAGTAGTGTGCTGTGTTCTGGAAGGTACTACAGGGTACGGCAACGATATGGGTTTTTGCACTATATTATGAGCGGGGCAGTAGTGTGCTGTGTTCCGGAAGGTACTACAGGGCACGACAACGATATGGGTTTTTCCACTATATTATGAGCGTGGCAGTAGTGTGCTGCGTTTACAAAGATCTAGAAGGTACTACAGGGTAAGACAACGATATGGGTTTTGACACTATATTTTGAGCGGGGCAGTAGTGTGCTGTGTTCTGGAAGGTACTACAGGGTAAGACAACGATATGGGTTTCTGCACTTTATTATGAACGGGGCAGTAGTGTGCTGTGTTCTGGAAGGTACTACAGGGCACGACAACGATATGGGTTTTTCCACTATATTATGAGCGTGGCAGTACTGTGCTGCGTTTACAAAGATCTGGAAGGTACTACAGGGCACGACAACGATATGGGTTTTTCCACTATATTATGAGCGTGGCAGTACTGTGCTGCGTTTACAAAGATCTGGAAGGTACTACAGGGTAAGACAACGATATGGGTTTTTCCACTATATTATGAGCGGGGCAGTAGTGTGCTGTGTTCCGGAAGGTACTACAGGGCACGACAACGATATGAGTTTTTCCACTATATTATGAACGGGGCAGTAGTGTGCTGCGTTTACAAAGATCTGGAAGGTACTACAGGGTAAGACAACGATATGGGTTTTCCAACTATATTATGAGCGGGACAGTAGTGTGCTGTGTTCTGGAAGGTACTACAGGGTACGGCAACGATATGGGTTTTTGCACTATATTATGAGCGGGGCAGTAGTGTGCTGTGTTCTGGAAGGTACTACAGGGCACGACAACGATATGGAATTTTCCACTATATTATGAACGGGGCAGTAGTGTGCTGTGTTCTGGAAGGTACTACAGGGCACGACAACGATATGGGTTTTTCCACTATATTATGAGCGTGGCAGTAGTGTGCTGCGTTTACAAAGATCTAGAAGGTACTACAGGGTAAGACAACGATATGGGTTTTGACACTATATTATGAGCGGGGCAGTAGTGTGCTGTGTTCTGGAAGGTACTACAGGGTAAGACAACGATATGGGTTTCTGCACTTTATTATGAACGGGGCAGTAGTGTGCTGTGTTCTGGAAGGTACTACAGGGCACGACAACGATATGGGATTTTCCACTATATTATGAACGGGGCAGTAGTGTGCTGTGTTCCGGAAGGTACTACAGGGCACGACAACGATATGGGTTTTTCCACTATATTATGAGCGGGGCAGTAGTGTGCTGCGTTTACAAAGATCTGGAAGGTACTACAGGGTAAGACAACGATATGGGTTTTCCAACTATATTATGAGCGGGGCAGTAGTGTGCTGTGTTCTGGAAGGTACTACAGGGCACGGCAACGATATGGGTTTTCCAACTATATTAGGAGCGGGGCAGTAGTGTGCTGTGTTCTGGAAGGTACTACAGGGCACGACAACGATATGGGATTTTCCACTATATTATGAACGGGGCAGTAGTGTGCTGTGTTCCGGAAGGTACTACAGGGCACGACAACGATATGGGTTTTTCCACTATATTATGAGCGTGGCAGTAGTGTGCTGCGTTTACAAAGATCTGGAAGGTACTACAGGGTAAGACAACGATATGGGTTTTCCAACTATATTATGAGCGGGGCAGTAGTGTGCTGTGTTCTGGAAGGTACTACAGGGTACGACAACGATATGGGTTTTTGCACTATATTATGAGCGGGGCAGTAGTGTGCTGTGTTCTGGAAGGTACTACAGGGTAAGACAACGATATGGGTTTTGCACTATATTATGAACGGGGCAGTAGTGTGCTGTGTTCGGAAGGTACTACAGGGCACGACAACGATATGGGTTTTTCCACTATATTATGAGAGGGGCAGTAGTGTGCTGCGTTTACAAAGATCTGGAAGGTACTACAGGGTAAGACAACGATATGGGTTTTCCAACTATATTATGAGCGGGACAGTAGTGTGCTGTGTTCTGGAAGGTACTACAGGGTAAGACAACGATATGGGTTTTTGCACTATATTATGAGCGGGGCAGTAGTGTGCTGTGTTCTGGAAGGTACTACAGGGCACGACAACGATATGGAATTTTCCACTATATTATGAACGGGGCAGTAGTGTGCTGTGTTCCGGAAGGTACTACAGGGCACGACAACGATATGGGTTTTTCCACTATATTATGAGCGTGGCAGTACTGTGCTGCATTTACAAAGATCTGGAAGGTACTACAGGGCACGACAACGATATGGGTTTTTCCACTATATTATGAGCGTGGCAGTACTGTGCTGCGTTTACAAAGATCTGGAAGGTACTACAGGGTAAAACAACGATATGGGTTTTCCAACTATATTATGAGCGGGACAGTAGTGTGCTGTGTTCTGGAAGGTACTACAGGGCACGGCAACGATATGGGTTTTTGCACTATATTATGAGCGGGGCAGTAGTGTGCTGTGTTCTGGAAGGTACTACAGGGCACGACAACGATATGGGTTTTTCCACTATATTATGAGCGTGGCAGTACTGTGCTGCGTTTACAAAGATCTGGAAGGTACTACAGGGTAAGACAACGATATGGGTTTTTCCACTATATTATGAACGGGGCAGTAGTGTGCTGTGTTCTGGAAGGTACTACAGGGCACGACAACGATATGGGTTTTTGCACTATATTATGAGCGGGGCAGTAGTGTGTTGTGTTCCGGAAGGTACTACAGGGTACGGCAACGATATGGGTTTTTCCACTATGTTATGAGCGGGGCAGTAGTGTGCTGTGTTCTGGAAGGTACTACAGGGCACGACAACGATATGGGTTTTGACACTATATTATGAGGGGGGCAGTAGTGTGTTGTGTTCCGGAAGGTACTACAGGGTAAGACAACGATATGGGTTTTTCCACTATGTTATGAGCGGGGCAGTAGTGTGCTGTGTTCCGGAAGGTACTACAGGGCACGACAACGATATGGGATTTCCCATTATATACTGAGCTCTTTCTTAACTGGAGTCTTGTCCTTAGGTACAGGGTAGCTAACTTCTGCCTCTCATCTCACATATAATATCCAGCTACATTAGGTGAGGTGAAATTGGTTTAAACGTGGTGCTTGAGAATATTTCGCTCATATGACGACGTGTATGTGTATGTACGGCTGCTTGTACTAGCCCAGACTTAAGTTGATTTTATAGTGCTAGCCCACTGTGATACCATGCCGCAGTGAAGAATGAATACCCGACTCAGACACATTATACGGACTAACGTCTTTTGGTATGACACGGTCGGGGATCGAACCCGCGGCCTTCCGCTTTAACTTCTACACCACGGAGGCGATCTCCAGCTACATGGAGATCACCAATTATGTGGAGATCTTTTTGTTCTCTGGATACTCAGCCGAACCCTGGAAACCTCTCCATCTCCAAGGCCAATATTACATGTAAATATCTGTCTTTATTTCTATAACAACTGGTTTTGTATCATCTTTCCTATAATTTTATACTTCTGCACCATTTTGTACTGCAACTGTTATAACTTTGCTGCAATTTGTATTATATTGTGAACTTATATTAATATATACATATGTTAATTAAATCAGATTGCTCTCTTGATATTGTTGGATTGTTTGATTTGTGGATGGATTCGCGGTGACCGTTTAGTTTCAACTTGGGCATCGATACGCAACAATATAATCAACCGCTGGATAACTTCAGAAAGATGAGTAATGTCTGTAACTCTGTACAGTGTGCCTATGCTTGTGATCGTTTACGGAATGAGATCGAAATTGTTTGCATCAACGTGAAAACCGGGTGTATACACAAACTGTTCCCAGTGAGGAAACAATAGCCCGCTGCTGGAGTACATGGATGAACACAGCTGTATAACATTCAACTATCGGATCTCGCATCTCATGGCACACAATACTGTGAAGGTTGCGCTATATTTTAGAATGCAACTGTTTCCTCTGTTGCAGTTGTATTGCAACACTCGCAACTTGCAACACTCGCAGCTTGCAACACTCGCAGCTTGCAACACTCGCAGCTTGCAACACTCGCAACTTGCAACACTCGCAACATGCAACACTCGCAACTTGCAACACAGCTTGCAACACTCGCAGCTTGCAACACTCGCAGCTTGCAACACTCGCAACTTGCAACACTCGCAACTTGCAACACTCGCAACTTGCAACACTCGCAACATGCAACACTCGCAGCTTGCAACACTCGCAACTTGCAACACTTGCCTCTTTCCGCTGCTGTTGTATGCAACTGCTCCGACCTCTTACTTTCTTCTGTTGCTATTACACAAATGCAATGATTGTCTTATCTGACTTTTCTCTGGTTACTAATTGCAAGTAATGAAATACATGCATCACAAGACTTTACACTTGTATGGCCACTTGTCAACGACTGTTTTCGTCCAGCTGGGGACAAACGCCAATATGTTAATAATCTTGCAACCGCCGACCATGTTATCATCCCAACTCATGTTTGACACGGTCAGATGTGTACTCCTACACATGGCCAAACGTTCATTAACGTCAAATGTAATCCGACGCTCTGCCCATTAGCGACTCAGCAACAACCATTTGACGTGCGCCTCACAACAAGCTCGGACGCTGACATGAAGTATATACTGCAGTTGGTGATATGGTTGAGCCCCTTTACTGTCTGTAAGTATAGTTTATTATAAACGAAGCTTTTTAGGGTTATAAATTGATTGCAAGCTGATTAATCACGAAAGATATTTTCTAAATATTGTGTGTATGTAACTGGTTGACAGGAAAAACAGTATTTACCCTAGAATGAAAAAGTGAAATCTTTTCTGACCTGTTCAGATTATCATGTCCGTTTTGTCAGAGGAAACATGAATATTTGTTGAACGTTACGGAGGGATCCCAGTGGAGACACAATCTGCCGTTCCACATGAGTGAGTGAATTAACATTTAAGTCACTTTGCATTTCAGTCATATCGTAACTAACCGTAAAGATATCTATTAACAAAGGCCAGTTTAGATAAAATAAATACATGTTAATGAAAGAGTAAATTCACCTGATATCACCGAGTTTCTATTGACACTGGTACGTAACCAAAAAAAAACATTTAGTACTCTAACAGCAATACAATATGAAAAAACGGGCTATAGATCGCCAACAACTGAAAGGAGGCCATCATACTAGAGACCATGGGGACGTACAGTGCTTTTACTGCCTGCATGGGCTCTAGCTGAATCTTCCACATGAAGCAATGTAAATATCTGTTTTAGGACTTCTCATTTTTGCCGTTAATTAATTGAACTATTTGCTCTGAGTATTTTACTATATTTGACCTTGATTCTGCAGTTTTTCAATATCTAATATTTTATCATAAACATATTTGGATTTGAATTACGGACTTGTGTGTTAACATTGACATTTACCTGACATGTAAACCACTTGAATTGGCCAGGTGATGTTGAAGTTGAATGGGGTTTTATTGCACTGGTTAAGCAACTAGCGTGCGTGTGGCTATTTTTACTGGTCCGCACTAAATAAGTGTCAGTTTTAATGTGACTGACAGCAAAAATATTGACACAGTGCACTAAGTTTGTTGAGGTCCTCTTACGATCATGGGTAAGAACATGTGTGAGGCCCCGTTAAGGTCATGGATGATTTCCTGTGTGACGTCCTGATAAGGTCATGGATACGATCATGGGTGAGGTGCTGATATGGATATAGATAAGATCCCGTGTGAGGTCCTGATAAGATCGTGGACAGAATGTTGGATGAGGTCCTGATAAGGTCAAGGATAAGTTTCTAGGTGAGGTAATGGATAAGATCCTGTGTGAAATCCTGATAAGGTCAGTGATGGGATCTTGGGCTAGGTCCTGATAAGGTCATGGATATGATCCTGTGTGATCCTGTTAAGAACATGGATAAGATCCTAGATGACATCCTCACAAGGTCATGCATAGGATGATGGGAGCGGTCCAGATAATGACATGGATAAGATCCTGCGTGAGATCCTGCTAGGGCCATGGGTAAAATCAGCGTGAAGTAATGATTGTGTCATGGGTAATACCCTGTGCGAAGTCATATTAAGATAATGCATACGATCCAGTGTGAGATCCTGATAAGGTAATGGATAAGTTCCTGGGTGAAGTAATGATGATATCATGGATAATACCCTGTGCGAAGTCATATTAAGATAATGCATAGGATCCAGTGTGAGATCCTGATAAGGTAATGGATAAGATCCTGGGTGAAATCCTGATGAGATTATGGACGGGATACTGGGTGAGATCCTGCTAAACTGAGGTCATGTTAGGGCCATGGATAAGATCGTAGGTGGGGTCATGTTAGGACCATGGATAAGATCGTAGGTGGGGTCATGTAAGGGCCATGGATAAGATCGAAGGTGAGGTCATGTTAGGGCCATGGATAAGATCGTAGGTGTGTCATGTTAGGGCCATGGATATGATCCAGGGTGGGCGAAACCGCATTATCAGTGGTTCAAGGGAGGTTACTCTCTCTCACTACTTTGTTCAGGCGAATGTGGGCCCACATTCGAAACTAGAGTACGTTGAAAACAAACAAATTATATCTCACAAATAGATACTCAACAATTCAGGATATGTGTGACATATTGATTCAGAATGCATGAAATAATTCCAATAAAGTGAAACTATAGTAGCAGACACTAGGCCGTGTCCCGGGAAACTAGGCCGGGGACTCATTAATATTTACGAGTGTATTCCTTTTGTGGAAAGGTTCTCACGATATCTGTGACGCCATTGGTTGAGATTTTGACCTTTGAAGCCAAGCCAAAGGTTATAAGGGTACGGAAACAGATTCCAGCAAAATCTTGTGTTCGCCTTGCAGATGACGTCACTAAGGCAAACGTGATGTTGATAAACCGACTGAAAAGTCACCATGGCATTGAGAATGATTGGTATTGTAAGGGCAGGGTCTACGCAGAAACATGCAAAGGGAAGAAGTTTAAAATCTACCCTTTGATGACATTGATGCCACCATTAATAAAAAAATAGACTGAGCATCATTCATTCTATCTAATGAACCAATGAAATGACAACACATGTGATTTTACGAACGTCTCATTGTCTTCTGATTGCCCCGACAGTAAACCATCATGTGTGGTGTACCAGTCATTGACATATAATACACATTGAGAAATATCTACCACAAATACAGACTCTATAAGTTCGTAATGGTTTTGTGTATTCCTTTGACAAATACAAGGCTTGAATGTTGAAGCCTTTTGTAAAAACTTGAAATTGAAGTAGATTAACAGCCTGACACAAAAAGATGGCTTATGACAACACTCTGAATTGGCACGATGTTCGATGGTAAACCTAGAAAAGATCGACATCCTGAATTTCCCAAAGCATCAATTAAAAAAAGCTTATTAAAGACATTAAGAATGATTTTGCATCATATTGCAAATATTGACGAATTCAGATATCTCCCCTTCATGAGTTTCGTTCTTTATAAACATTGTAAAATATACATTAAATGGTATCAGTGTGGAATTAGATATATTCGGGACCAAATTAGAAGATAAAGCTACTCTGTTTTCAATTTTGCGGTCCTTTATCGTTGATTTATGACCGCTAAATTGAACATTAAGCGGTCTTAAATCAACGATAAAGGACCGCAAAATTGAAAACAGAGTAGCTTTATCTTCATTCTAGCACGACAGATAAAAGCGGCGTAAAACTAAACTCAGTCAGTCAGTCAAGTGAATTATTCACCCTCCTTCTGTATCACAATCGACTCGCCCCATTCGCTTACTTGTGTACCAAACTTCATCATTCTCACACACATTCTTACGAGGCTGCTGAAAGAGGGCTTCATTTTCTGGATTTAACTTGGACATGTATCTTCGAAAGGATACAACAGGACAGAGGGGAGTTCCTGTCGCGTATATACGTGGCTTTGTGTACTCGGAATCGCCGACGCCCCCAGGATGATTTTTCGTGGATTCGCTATGTGTCATGGATATGAATTCACAGACAACATCGTCTGTTTCGACAACAAAGGAATGAACAGACAACTCCCCCTGGTTCTCACAGCCCCTTCGTCCAAACCCTAGGGTCAAATCAAACCACACTTTGTTTTGAAGGTCTACAGGGTTTTCCCAATTTTGTTTGTTTCTAATTTGAGCTAAATCACCATCTGAAATGGCATTGTGATGTGCTGGATTATCAAAACCCAACTGCTTTATTTTTTTTAACATTGCTGTAAAAGCGACGTTGGCCGAGTGAAATTCTTTGTCTTGAAGAATGTTCATGTTCATGATAAATGGTGGCTGTCTAAGGTGTCTGTGGATCGCTGCTCGGATCCCCACATACGATGACATGGCATAATAATTCCCGTCGGAAGTTCGGACTTCAGCGTAGAATCGCTTCAGCAGAGCGTTCATTTCATCAACTGGAAGTGTCTCAAACTCGGGAGAGAGTTCGTGAAATTGTAGCCACTCTGGAAATATATTTTAATTAAAAATATTATTTTATGTGCGCTTCAATGTTTTAATATCAATTTTTTAAAAGGTAAGTAACAACTTTATTTAACATGTTCAAGATGATTTACATCACCCTCGTTTATCATAGGATATGTTAGGCCAAATCTTGATAAATTTGTTCGATTTAAAAAGATTGTCTTTGCTCTTACGTTTCAAGAGTTTTACTCCTCACGCAGTTGTTTGAAGGGTGGTGTTGCTTCTCGAATCCAAAACAATATGTTCCAGATCATTGTCGGTCACTGTTTTGAAACGCTTGGTAGCAGGTTCATTTTTGATATCTAAAACAGTAAAATGGTAAATTTGAGTGAAATATTTACTTATTAATAAATTAAACTGCCGTTAAATTTCGTAATAATTGATTATTCATGCAAGGGAACATTTCGTACAATACAAGAGATAAATTGAGGAATATTTTTAGTCCATTTTTTTCTTTCCTTTTTCAATTTAAAAAATGTGAAACGAATTATCGCTACCTGTAGAATTGTCCAGCTTCGAAGTTTCTTCATTTGCGTTAGGCTCCAGAAATTCTTCGTCGAACCATTCGCTTTTCAGTTCAAAAACATCAAAGATGCTGCCGAGGTAGAAGTCTTTGATGTCAGACATGTTTGTTTACAACAATAGGGTCAACGAGTTCGTTGTATTCATACGCGGTGAATCGGTCACTTTAATTAGCGGTCCTTAAACTGTCATTTAAGTACGGTTTTGATGAGCTCTCAGCCAATCAGAATCGAGTATCACACATTGTCGTGCTAGAATGATTGATTTAGCACACTTAAAATAATTCAATGTCTTGAAATACGACTTCAGATTTAATGATAATTTCATTTCTTATTTCAGACTGATAAGTTTCATACCCAACACATTGATTAAACGATCAAAAGAAAGATAATCCGGTTTACAGAACAAATTCAGATATTAATTGCAAGATTCCCATGGACATTATCTCATCACTTAATTGTAAATGTATCTATATACTAATTCGTAATGGTGAGGGTACTTGTTCTCTTCAAGATCCTAAACTCACGGGCGAAAGAAACGTCACCAAAATGATTTTTTTATCTTTTATCGTACACTAAGTGATTATTCATATCTGTAGTTCACACTTTCATCATTCAGAATATTGTAAATCCTTAGTATAGTTTTCCAAATATGATTGTTAAATTTCCAAAATCTGAGTTTGTTGCTTTGTGACATGCTAAAAAAGCGAGGTGACGTTTCTTTCGCCCGTGAGTTTACTTCTAAATGGAACTCAAAGATGGATGCACACATTACACACTGAAAATTACCTGTCCCAATGTTTTAATACAATACGAAATTGTGTGGAGGACAGCAAGACACGGAATGTCCAACATAAACTCATCCATCGTATGATATCATCAAAATCATTGCTTTACAAATAGGATTGATAGAGGATAACCTTTGTACATTTTGCCAATCAGAAAGTGAAACACTATAACATTTTTTTCCTGTCGAAAAGTTCAAATTATGATGAAGGAGTTCACATTTTGGTGTGAAAGAAGAATCTATTTAAAAGTAGACTTAAATAGGAATAATTTCCTTCTTGGCGATTTAAGCATGAATATCCCTGAAAACCACCTTTTTATAATAACCAAGCGTTATATTCAAACTTGTCATTACAATAAGACTTGCCCCATATTACCGCTAATAATATAATCACAACATAGAAAAAATCATTTCTGGAGACAAGACCAAATTTGCAGAAAAATGGGCCCCGCTAGTAATATAGATGGACGCAAACAAATGTTTGATCCTATCTCTTATCTCCTCTCCATTTTCTTACTTTCCTATATCCCTTTTTCTTTTTCTTTGTACTGTATTCATACAACCATTAATCTTGTCGTCTGCCATTTATTCTGAAGCTTGAATGTATGTTTTATCTGTGTTATTCATCTGTATGAATATTGTATTTTTTGCTATTGTAATAAAAAAATAAGAAACACAGGAGATCATTTTACCTTTGATAAGGGTCATATGACAATTGCTTTACTACTTCTGCCGAATTTGTACTACGGCAGGTCCACGACAATATGATAGCTTCGAAGTTATGGAACATGGGAGAGTTTCGAGAATGCTGCGTGTATTTAACCTACTGTAAGAGTCGTATATGTAATGCTGCGTTCTGGGTAAGTCGAATTGGCCCTGTCTTCAAGGACAAGGGCAGATTTTGCAATTTTGGTGGGCTTACATCTAAGGATAACTTTCTCCTGACCAATTATCTGTGTGGCGTTCATGAAAAGTATGATCAATTTGGGGCTTGTTTTTGTGTGTGTTATTCATGATTGAGTCACATGTTTGTCTCAGGATGTGTAAATGAACTGAGTTGTGTTGCTGACGATTTGGCTGCCAAGGAAGGAAGGATAAAACAATTAGTTTGGTGATAAAAACAGAAACAATCATACATTACTCATATTGCCATGCTTATCCGCACCAAAATTGTGCACAATCTCGCTGTGCATTGGAACTATAATTCAACTCAAGAATCTTTACAAGATGTGACATTTGAAGATAAGGCATTTCAACGTATCTTTGGGGATACCTACACGATGTATTACTTTGGAATCATTTCCAATGGATTATTTAAAATTCTACTAATTAGACTTACCTTTGTTGGAAGATTGTTGTGGTGGGTAGAGTCACTATTGTGCGCTGGTGTTCATTCTAAATCATACAGTTGATGGTTGGCTTTTGGGGCTTTTAAGTATTTCACTGGACATTCCAAGTATTGAAACATTGCCACAACATGGAGTGTGATTTGATTCAGATTGGTGCAATATGCAATGACACTTAAAAGATCGTTGATTTCATGAAAGAAGGAGAGAGAAAATACGACATCGGTTCCAGTCAGGGTATTTATAAACACTTTTGGATGTTTGGTCTGATTGACAGCCAAAGTAAACAGGTTCTTCTGTTTAATGTACATGACAGAACAACAGACACCCTGTTGCCAATAATCAATGCCCATGTAGGAGTTGGCACCAAAATTATTATGGATTTTAATCGTACATTTGTCTACAAAATGCGGGGTATAAACATGACACTGTTAAACACAAGGATGGTTATGTGAACCCCAAAACAACGACCTATACCAATTCCATTGACGGATTTGGGGGCAATGCTAAATCAAGCTCAAGTCAATGATGGTCTCCAAAAAGGACAGATAGCTGCTCATCTTGATGAGATTGTGTTTATATGGAATAACAAAGATGGCTCTATGTTTACAATCATGCTTCGTCTTATTGCCAAATACTTTACTCTGTAAATCAATTTGTATGACAATTTTGAAATATTTCCATCAAATTCACGTGCCTATGACGAGCATACGTCTTGTTAAATTGTTCATGTTGTCACTCTTCCAAGTGTTCATGATGCTCTTATCATTTTAAACATATGATGCTGAAAGTATGTTGTATAATGAAGTTCCTGTCAACAGTTTGATGAAACTACCTGTGATAGTGCTACAAAGATATTCGATCAGCTTCTATGCAGGTGATTCAATTTTTTTGTGTCAGATTCAGTGTGAAATATGATGAAAGTTTCCATCATTATCATGAAACGCATTAATAATGATAATAATGAGTGTAGTTTTGTTCTTTTCAAACTGTTATGCTTGATTCTTCCATAACTTCACGAAGTTGTATGCCCAAGCTTGTGTTACACACCTATCACTGATGAGGTATCCGATAGGCCTTGCTAAAATAGTTCTGATGCGTCTGTAATAGAAATTACAGCTAGAAGTGAGTATTGTGGTCACAGGTGATATTGTGATTGATTTTAAACAACAATACAAATGTTCATTGTTACATCGCTACTGATGTCTTATGTTTAGAGACAGTAGCTAGAGGCCACACTCATGTGTGATTGAAACAACCTGTTCAGTATTTCTTTTTTTGAATGAATGAATAAAACTTGTTATCTTAATCTTCAGAATGAGTTAGCCGTGAGAGTGATTCGTTTTTGCAATATTTGAATGGTACGAAGAGTAGATTTTCTTAGTTTTTAAAATGTGGGCCAACCTAAAAAATCTCTAAAGAAAAGTACATAAGTAGACCCATATTCCTGTCCATAGACCTACAGTTGCGTGGTGAGCTCGATTCATAGCCATAGTTATCAGACCTCTTTGGGATTTGTAGTTTCATTGTGTTTATAAAAAAGTGGGCCTACCCACAAAATTCTTGATAGAGATAAAAATAAGTGCGCCCACATTTCTGTTTTCACGTCGATGCATAGTTTTGTCGTCAAACCGATGTAGTACTCCTTGATATCCACCTATTAAATAAGGACAATGAAATGGCCTATCTTTCCTGGCTCAGTTATCGGTTACTTCAACATCAGCGGGTGCTCTTGTGATTCTATAACTCGAGTAAGATTGTACCTCCACCAACAAAATGTGGGCCCAAATCCGAGTCGGTCCTGTAAGCAGCTAGTAAGTGATCCAGAATTAGGTAATATTGACAAACACGCATAAAAACCGGGAAGCTCAATAATGATGTTCGTATTGAAGGAAATGGTTCTCTAAATAGACTAACCTGAGTATTTTTAATGATGAATCGAGTGACGGACGATATCGTAACATCGCTTTGTCAGCGCGATGTGTTTCTCAGATACGAGACTACACGTCATAGCTCTAAGCTATATTTAGAGTTAGCTCCCTTCGAAATTCGAACCACCGACAATGCTGTTTCACCCCATGGATAAGATCCTGTGTGAGGTCCTAATAAGGTCCTGGTTAATATCCCGAATGAGGTCCTGGGTGACATTCTGATAAGGTCCTGGAATACAATTCTGGATGAGGTCCTGTAAAGGTCATGGATGGGATCGTGGAGAGGTCCGGATAAGATTGCGGATGAGATCCTGGGTGACATTCTCATAAGGTCATGGATGGGAACCTAGGGTGAGATCGTAATGAGATCATGGATAAGATCCTCGTTGAGATCTTGTTAATGTCACGAATAAGATCCTGGGTGAGGTAACGATAAGGTTAAGGATAATATTTTGGGTGGGCTTGTTATAATATTATGGGTGAGATCCTGCTTCGGCAATTTATAAAATCCTGGGTGATATTCTCATGAGGTCACGAGTGTGATCCTGGGTGAGATGATGGATACGATCCTGCGTGAGGTCCTGATAAGGTCATGATTAAAATCCCGGATGAGGTCTTTGTATGGGTCTTAGATGAGGACCTGGTTAACGTCCTGGACGACGTCCAGCCTGAGGTCCGAATGCTGGCTGAGATCCGAGATAAGGTCCTGGATGATGTTCTGGGTGTGCTCCGTGATGAAATCAGAGGAAAGGTGTTCCGTGCGGTCCTTGATGTGAGATATGAGGTTAGTTTCTGGATCATGAGTATGGAGACATCATCATCCTGATGTCAGATACCAGTTACATCACTTTCATGTGTTGACATTAACGTTTCAGGTGCCCAGGAGCTTGTAATAGACCCACCAGTAGATGAAATACAGGACAACCCGAAATCGTTCTCTATGTACTGCAGAGTTCCTGGACTTCCAGACAGCACTAAACATCTAGAATGGCTGGACAGGAACGACAATATTATGGAAGGCTCCAACGTCCGAAGGTACAGGATTGTGTATTGTTTCACTACATTCTTCAGTTCGGTGTATTTGTTGTTTCACGTCCTAGTCGATATTGTCCTCCTATATGACTGCGACCAGTAATTAATCAGATCTGGACATGAAGAACCCAGTGATTGATCCTGTAAGTTAGGGAACGACAGTTTGAATTAGTTGACCTTAGACTTAAGACAGGAAACTAGCTATGTGTTTCGTCTGAACATCATTGGCGAAAATACGATAGTGACCATGTACCACACAGGCCCGCCACGTGACCACCGACAAATCAACACACGGTCTGTTTCCACAAATAAAGCCGAAGCCAATGAACAGTCCGTAACAAACCAACCCTACTTTTCACATTGCTTCATAATGTAGGGTTTGACACAGTTTCGTTTCAATGACTGACACTTGCATAATGAATGAGTTCACCACGGCGGGTAATAAATTCATATCTCATTATTAAACATATCCTCGTGCTCGATTCCACGACACAAAGATATGAGGACATCAAGTGACGCATGAACAAACTTTGGCGCTGAACCTTTGCCCAACAATGAGTGAGTGAGTGCGTTAAAATTTAAACATCGGCCAGATATATATAGTGGCTAAAACAGGTAACACGTCAACAATGGATTATTAACTATTTCGGGACAATACAATGTTTGAAAAACAACGGCTATAGATCGCCAACAATTGAAGCTAGATCACCATACAAAGGACCATGGAGACTTACAGTATTTTTGCACCCTGCATGGACCCTAGTTGGATTTACACCATCCCTTCAGCCGCTGGCGATTGTAGTCAATTTTAGCTAAACATATAAAAGACACAGATTCTGTGATTAAAAGTTCGTAGTATGAAACATACTTTGATTGAACTGAACTTACTTACCCTCTCAGGGAGACAATAATTTTACGCTACTTCAACCCCGTTTGAAGGTATTGCCACTAACAGTCAACAGTTATTTATTCTTTCTAGCAAATCAAAATACATTCACTAATTACAAAATAAAATCAAACTGTATCAATTACATGAATTTCTTATAATAATGCAACAATTAAATGAAAACTGCCATTATCAAAAAGGTTCTTAATAGATAAAGCTTTTAAATATTTATCTCTTGTGAGGGAAAAATCAATACAGTCAAGCAAGACATGCTTGACCTTGATTCTTTCACCACAAGGGATGCGAAATGGAGGATCCTCACCTTCACGCAAGTATTCATGTGTTTATCTTGAATGGACAATACGACAATGTTGTATAGTGGCCTTCTCAAATCTGGACTGACAACCCAAGTAAGTATAATCAATATAAAGTGTTATTTCATGTAATTCATTAATGCCTACTTGGGTGTTTCACTTCTCCTGCATCAGACCACAGATGTAAGATCTAATAACATCTTTATAATCTGAGTATGGGATAAGAAGTGCCGTCAGATTTGATGAGTACTGCCATCAGCCATCTTGTAACCATTGATTTCAACATGTTTGCAAGATCATTATAGAATTCATTAATTTCAATTAAATGTGGATGCTGAGAAGGCAATTTTTGAAAAGCCTGAAGGCAAGAAAGAGAGTCTGAATTGATCATGTATTATTCATATTTATGGTGATTTTTAATATTTTTAAGTGCTATGAATGTGGCGTTAGCTGTGAAAATAGAGCTATGATCCGGTAAGATATTGTTCTAGATCCGATGACAGTGGCACAAGCAGATGTGCCACCATCATAAATAAAGATTTGTATGTATTATAATCATTTCTTAATTGATTAAAATCCTGTCTATATTGTAATTCATTTGTTTCTGACTTTTGAATGTGGTCAATGTAAGGTCGACTTGGGGCATTACTAAATGCCAAGGAGGAGAAGAAAGCCGACGGATAGGAGACTCCAGCTCAATGCCAACAGCAGTAATGAATGATTTGATTCATATCCCAAAAAGTGGAACAAGTGAAGATTTTTTTATTATACAAATCCTCATAAAGTAGATTGAAACACAATTGTAAGCAGGATTTGGCTCATTAATATATAGTTTTGTGACATACTACAAAGATAATTGGCACAGCGAAGCTGGCACATCGGCCTCGACAGAAATATTGTCAATGGGAAAAGTTCGGAGAGATCCAAGACATAGTCTCAGACCTTGATGGTGGACAGACACTTAAAGGCTGCTTTTGCAGGCTCCACCATAAACAATGGAGCCAAAATCCAGTTTGGATCATACACGTGCTCGAAACAGTTGGAGGAGGGTTTTCTGATCCCCTTCCCACTTTGAGTTGCAAACAACTTTCAAAATGTCTAATGCCTTAAGGCATTTACTTTTCAAATATTGCATATGTGTCCGAAAGGTCAAATATTGACCGAAAATCAGACCCAGGAACTTGGCCTCTTTTACAATTTCAATAAGTGTACTGTCTTAACTTAATTGCGGGACCCTGCGAGGTTTATATTTTATGCGAGGCGAAAGTGGATACGAATTGTGTTTAATTTTGAAAATTTGAATCCGTTTTCTAAACACCATTTATTAACACAATTGCAACTGAGTTTCAATAGTATGCATGTTTATGCAACGACAAGAAATATTAAAATCATCCACAAATAACAATCCATCTATTGAATCGTTTAAGCCCTTTGATAAACTATTAATCTGTGCACTAAATAGTCTGTCAGACAACATACTGCCTTGTGGGACACGCTGATCCTGAATATAATGGCCAGACAGGTTGGAACCCACGCGGGCTTAAAATTGCATGTCATTTAAAAACTTCGATAGAAATTGAGGCAAACGGCCTCGCAATCCATAATCGTGTAAATCACTTAAAATACCATGTGGTGTCGTATGCTTTTCCAAATCGAAAAAGATCGACAATGCATGTTGTTTTTTAATTATGGCATTTTTTTCCAAAAGCTTCCGAACGCACCAAACGATCAATGGTACGACGGTTTGAACGGCAACCACATTGTATATCAATTAGAAAATTATAGGTTTCCAAGAACCAAACGAGACGATTATTGATCATGCGATCCATGGTTTTGCAAACGTGCCCTATAAAGAAATGAATAAGAAACAGCCCACGCTTTGAACAAAATTGTAACCACGGTCTCCATGCAAAATGTGAAAACAAAAGTAAAATAACATAAAACAATATCTAATAGATGAGGGAGGCTACCATGAGCTGTGAAATGTTTGAGATGATTTAGTCGGATTCAGTCGTTCGGCCCGTAACGGTCGATTGGAATACTCCGTGTGAACCATTCCGAGGTTGCATGATTACATAATACATTCGGAATGACACTTCCCTAATCTTGTCGCATGAAAGGCCGTTCTCACGAGAGTAGTGATGGACCGTCCTCATGCTTGTCAAGCGATAGCGTGAACGAAGATCTAATTTTGATCGGACCGAATCTTTCGAAGCCTACATTGATCAACTGCTAGCAAAAACAAAACCCGTCTTCACACGGATTAGAACGTTTCTACCAGTACCAGTGAAGATGAGCTCCGATCTAAACAGGCAGCCCTGAGACAGACACTAGATTGTCTTACACATGGACGTTCTGATGAAATAGCTTTGGAATGTACGTGAGAGGCTGAAGTTTCAATGCGCCAGCTGTTGTGTACTGGTCACAATGGTGTGAGGATGTTCTAACGGTCCTGGTGCTCGCCCTGGAGGAACAGCGGACATCTGGAACTTTACTATTTGTTTGACTCCTCAACTTCTCTGGTTGGCATTACAACCAATCTCAAGACTACTGTATCTGCATCAAGGGTCGTTTTCATTAGTATGGTTTCAAACGCAAGCAACGGAATGACTCACCTGAAGTGGCCTCAATCCACATGAAATTGTGTGCATGGATTAACATGTATAATTTTCACAACGGTGAAGTATCTTTGCATCTCACAGGCACCTGCAGCTACAGTTTGAAAGTCCAGGCATTCTTCCAGTCAAACACTCATTACCCAAACTTAGCCAAAAGTTGTCACCTAATTTACTAATAATTTGAGTTTTTTGTTTTGGGTATATTTAAGTTATCTATACGTTGTCTCTTGTTGGACGTTTTTATACATATTCCTGTTTACAGTTGAATGAGAATAGAACCGAAACCAGTTTGCCTTAATGTGGCTCAAATGATGGCGAATCTATCTTGTCCTGTCTTTGTTTGTAGCCTTGAAACATCCAGGTATGGTGCCACCTTATATTTGTTCTTTCAAAACTGGAAGGACAAAGACGCTGGAACTTACACCTGCAGAGGTGACATCTTGGGCAGGAATATGAGTAAATCCGTACAACTCTATTTCAATGGTAAGACATTTACATTAATTCTTATTGGTAAATATCGTTAAACCTGCCTCCCTCCCTATTCACACCACTCCACCCTCACAACCCCAAAATATTGTGTGTGTATATGTATGTATGTATGTATGTATGTGTGCGTGCGTGCGTGCGTGCGTGCGTATGAATGTATGTATGTATGTATGTATGTATGTATGTATGTATGTATGTATGTATGTATGTATGTATGTATGTATTTATATATGCATGTATGTGTGTGTGTATATATATATTTATATACATATGTATCGATGATCTGTTTAAAAGATATGTGCATTCCACCACTTTCCCTGCCTGAGTCAGCTCTTCCTTCGTGTCGAGTAATATTCAGACAGCTTCAGCCTTAGGGGTATTCATTCTAGAACGTCTGAGATACATTCGGGAGTGATCCTTTTACCAAGGTTTCAAAGAGCGCCATACGATTCTTACTCAAACGTTGTGCGTTCTGGATTCTTCTCTCAACAAATCGTTAGTACAGTATTGTAGACACGTGGAAGACACATAAATTCCACGAATCACTGATGCTCAATGCAATGGCCTGTCTTGACCACCATATGTTCCAGTGATTTCGCAGGTGAAAACCTGACGTAGCGTTACCTGTATTGTGGCGGTACCACCGATGCGACAGGATAACATAACGCAAGCACCTTTCGTCGTGACTACCTGACAGTGACTCAGAAACACATGCTTATGATCTGAATAGTTCTATATTTGTTTGGATTACAAAAATGCTTTCAGCTGGTTTTTTTTGCAATTGTGATACAGTCAGACCTCGTTAATCCGAACACTTCCTATTTTCATCAAATACGTTCGGATAGTGAAACGTACGGACTATTGAAACGAACCCTTATGTACGCCACTACAGTAGAGTTACTTCCCTTTGACATACCGAGCCAAGTATCAAATGCATCAAATGACTTTATTACAGTTTGTATACATAACAACTTGGATATTCATATAACAAGCAATCAATCAATGCATACAATAATGTCTGGATATAGTATAACATTCAAAACTTGGAAACTCACTCGGGTTAAAGAAATCGCCAATGACAGTCTGCTTGGATAGTGGCTTGAAAGATGTACGCATGCTGACCTTTGTCTCTTAGTTCTAATCATCTCAAACACTCTATACACACTATATAGCCATGTCATAAGCTTCCCTTACTTCTTGCCGTTAACTGTGCAGTAACTTCAATATCCTGTCCCTTTTGTTTTTTTAGTTGAAACTGTGTATGGTTTGTTGATCGTCAGACTCGAATATAGTTGTTGGAGTTTATGTTTGAACCACTCCTTCAGATGCCCAAGATATTATCATCAGCCCGTCTGAAGATGAATCGCGAGTCGAAGGCTCAGGTAGCCATGTGCTAAACTGTGAAGCCTTGGGACTTTCCAGCGGCCAAACTGCCGGGTTAGAATGGCTGGACAACAACATGAGACCCATTGGACCTCTCAATGAAAGTGATCCGAAAACCAACAGGTACTGATTGCTGTGGAATAATTCTTAATATACTGCAGTATACATATTACAGCCCCTGCGTACATACAGACCTATACCAATACCAAGCTCTAAATTATAAACTGTGCAAGGTTAGTTCGTTATAGTGGGGGTGAGTGAGTGGTAGCAATTTTACAGCAATATCCTGGAATGGGGGGCTGGACGCACAGGGAATGGGCTTCACACGTGCCCATGTAGGGATTCGGAGCCGGGTCTTCGGCGTGACGAACAGACGCTTTAACCACCACGCTTCCCTGTTCAGTATTCCGTAGTTATCCAGTGACAGGCCTTGTATCTCCAGGATACGTTCACCTTTTAGGCAGAATACTGTCACCTACAAAGTTGTATAAAGATATGCCCCTGGTATCTATAGCAGGCATGAAGCAATCGACTCAGTGTACCTGTGACTGTTGAGTTTGGTCATTTGTATTTTGTCTCTAGAGTTGCTGCGTAATGGTTAACGTTATCATCTAGATGCATCACAGCACGTGCATCAAATCAAGTGCATCACTGCACGCACCCTCCGGCTGAACAAAACTGACTTGTTGCAAATAGAGGTGCAGAAGTGGGGAGGGTTTAATCCGATTGTCTCTGTGTAGTAATATGACACACTAAGGCTAAGATGAAAAATTATTGCCATGTAGTGTTCACACATGTAATTCAAAGATATTGTACGACACCTTGGATGTTGTACTATTGTTGTACCAAAATGGCGCCAAACACAGGGTGTTAAGGAACTACCTGGAAAGACGGGAGGATGTTGGTCTGGCACGGTTAATGGGGCAGAACCGCTCATCCACGAGCTGGGTTCTGAAATATGTGTCTACATAACGGAATAATGTAACATATGTTATATTTGGGATTACTCTTTGTTAGTAAAGTACAGATTCTGGTACTTTGGGTTGAGTCCCAACCAGGATTCGAACCCAGACCTCCAGAGTCAGGCACCTAACCGCCAGCACACAAAGTCAGCCGCCTAACCCGCTCAGCCACCGAGTAATCCCAAGTGAAATCCCAAATATAACATATGTTACATTTGACCACTTTCTAAGTGGCATTGTGTATTCATAACAGAGTGGCTTTATGCCAGTCTCAAGTACTCAGTAAAAGGGAAACCTCCATGGAATCATGGACATATTTTACAATCTGGAAAAGTATTGTCTAGAGTAATGCTTTTAGTACTTTAGTATACCCCATCTAGCCAGTGTCGTGTAATCCTGAAGGTATTTCTAAGCATCAAACTCAAACCAGCCACGAACATTTGAAATGTTTTCTAAGAACATATCTGCACCTACTGCCGTTTCAGGGTCTATACCGTACATCGTGGCCAGAGACGCCTGTTGAAGTTTGATCAAGTGAAACTTGAAGACCACGGCAAATACACATGTAGAGTTTCACTTGGAGGTGAATCAAAACAAAAATCGGTTCGTCTTAATGTTTATGGTAAGTCAATAACTAGCAAGTCAGACGTAGACAACTTTGTGCCCTGGGTGAGTGCGATTTGGTTTACGCCGCACTCAGCAATATTCCAGCTATATGGCAGATTCGAACCCTGAAGCTATGTACCACTTTTATACTGCAGCTATGTACATCAATATACTACTTCTATGTACATCAATATACTACTGCTATGTACATCAATATACTACTGATATGTACATCAATATACTACTGGTATGTACATCAATATACTACTGGTATGTACATCAATATACTACTGGTATGTACATCAATATACTACTTGTATGTACATCAATATACTACTGGTATGTACATTAATATACTACTGCTATGTACATCAATATACTACTGGTATGTACATCAATATACTACTGGTATGTACATCAATATACTACTGGTATGTACATCAATATACTACTGCTATGTACATCAATATACTACTGGTATATACATCAATATACTACTGGTATGTACATCAAAATACTACTTGTATGAAAATCAATATACTACTTCTATGTACATCAATATACTACCGGTATGTACATCAATATACTACTTGTATGAACATCAATATACTACTGCTATGTACATCAATATACTACTGGTATGTACATTAATATACTACTACTATGAACATCAATATACTACTGGTATGTACATCAATATACTAATGCTATGTACATCAATATACTACTTGTATGAAAATCAATATACTACTAGTATGTACATCAATATACTACTGGTATGTAAATCAATAAATTACTGCCATGTACATCAATATACTACTGCTAAGTACATCAATATACTACTGGTGTGTACATTAATATACTACTGCTATGTACATCAATATACTACTGGTATGTACATCAATATACTACTGGTATGTACATCAATATACTACTGGTATGTACATCAATATACTACTGGTATGTACATCAATATACTACTTGTATGAAAATCAATATACTACTAGTATGTACATCAATATACTACTGGTATGTACATCAATAAATTACTGCTATGTACATCAATATACTACTGCTATGTACATCAATATACTACTAGTATGTACATCAATTTACTACTGGTGTGTACATCAATAAACTACTGCTATGTACATCAATATACTACTGCGATGTACATCGATATACTACTGGTATGTTCAGCACTATACTACTGGTATGTACATAAATATACTACTGCTATGTACATCAATATACTACTGGTATGTTCAGCACTATACCACTGGTATGTACATCAATATACTAATGCTATGTACATCAATATACTACTGCTATGTACATCAATATACCACTGCTATGTACATCAATATACTAATGCTATGTACATCGATATACTACTGCTATATACATCAATATACTACTGGTATGTTCATCACTATACTACTGGTATGTACATAAATATACTACTGCTATGTACATCAATATACTACTGCTATGTACATTAATATACTACTGCTATGTACATCAATATACCACTGCTATGTACATCAATATACTAATGCTATGTACATCGATATACTACTGCTATATACATCAATATAGCACAGCTATGTACATCAATATACTACTACTGCTATGTACATCAATATACTACTGGTATGTACATCAATATACTACTTGTATGTACATCAATATACTACTGCGATGTACATCAATATACTACTGCTATGTACATCAATATACTACTGCTATGTACATCAATATACTACTGGTATGTACATCAATATACTACTGGTATGTACATCAATATACTACTGCGATGTACATCAATATACTACTGGTATGTACATCAATATACTACTGTTATGTACAGCATGATACAACAACAACACGTTTTGAAACTCATAGAGTACTTTGTATGCCCTGTTACAATTTTATTGTTTTCCTCATTCATATGCTAATTCTTACGCACAATTCAGTTGTTCAGTGAGTGTGTTAATATTTAAGATCACATTGGCAATGCCTCAGCCATATCGTGACGAAAACAATTTATACTATAAAGATGAAAACATTTCGAAAATTAAAACCTGTCAATGATGGACAGTAAAAATACTAAAGTATCACAGATAGGAATATATAACTAGGACATAAAACTAAAACGATAATACAACATAAAACACGGGCTATAGATCGCCAACAACTGAAGGTAGATCACCATACTAGGGTCCATTGGGGCTTACAGGGTCTTTGCTACCTTCATGGACCCTAGTTAGATTTACACCATCCCATCAGCCGCGATTGTAAGAAACTTTAGCTATACATTAAAATAACAAAAATACTACGCTTGAAGAAAATGGTAAGTTTAAATTTATTTTTAAAGTTTTGTGGCTCTCGGGAAGCCAGTTTGTGCCTTAACATTCCTATTGTTTCAGGGGTTGTAACCGTTCCACAAGAAGACGTTATGATGCTGGAGTTGAAGACAGGTACAGCTATCCATTGCCAAGTGACCGAAACATCAGGAGGCCGAAATGTGACTGTAGATTGGCTGTACCCAAATCTTGCCAGCGTATCTGGTTATAGCAAATGTTGTCCTCGATTAAACAGGTAGAACTGTTTCCCATCATGCAAATGTGCGCATTCTATTTATATTATAACGTCATCTCAACGCTGTCTCAGTATTAAGAATGGTTAGACAGATTTGCGTGTGATCCTCTATTAAAGTGAGCTAGGTAGTGTTCTGTACCTTGTAAACCCAATATATCAAGAAACAGGGTATGGTTAACATTTGACTGACGTCCCTGATTGAACTGCCGTTTAAAAGACTTCAGTTACCAGTTTGATATTACAGAGAATTCGCACACCAGACCCCCATGGGCAGCACGCTGTTCTTTGACGAGTTGCGAAAAGGCGACAAAGGAAAGTATTATTGTCGGGTCAAAATCGACGGAAAGACAGTGTACAAAGGAATTCAAATCCGCTTTCACGGTAAATATTCATGGCAGATAAGCTAATTTGTGATAAAATAAATAAATACAATAAAATTCTGTTACGTGTAACACAGGATTGTAGTTTGACGGACAGCCGGTAGTATTTGATAGAGTCGCATTGTAGCTTCTGCCTTGTCGACACTGGTTAATTGAATTAACAGCGGTCAACAGCTTGACATTGACGTGCACGATGCACATTTACTAGTGGATTGATAAAAGCACGTTTGATAAGTTATATCATGACATAGCATCTTCATTTGGAAGGAGACTCAAAAGTCATCCATGTCTTTGGTGAAACGGTCCGTCCTTCATAATGACGAGCCAGGATTCGAGCACATGTTCACATGTTATTTGAAAGGCACATCATGCCATATAAAGAGTATGGCCGCACATTTCCGGTACTGCTTACCATACGACTTTACTATGTTGCATGAATTATGTGTTTATTTCCAATCGTTCCACTAATCGGTTCGTAAAACCAATTAACGAAAAGCAATGTGATGTTATTAAAATTGTATTCTAACTTCTAACTACGTTCAGAAATTAGTACAAATCATTATAGATGTATTACAGTGGCAGTACAAAATAGACTAACAGTGAAACTTCAAAGATACAAGCTGTGATTGTGTCATTGAAGACAGTGATAGTAATGTTCTTATTGCAACAGTGGTGAAGTTTCCAAAATTTGTCCAAGGCTAAGGATCCAGGGTAAGAATGATCTCAACACCACTGCTGGTCCTCTGGTGATTTGATACGTAATGTGAGATACGAGTTAGCTCACCTTATATATCCGAGCAAAGGACACCAGAAGATTCTCCGACTCCCTGGGTTAGACTATAGTGGAAAGGTCTGCAGGGTTGTTGTACCTTCCAGAATTCCGACTACTTGTAGCATGAGGCTAAATATAGCACACCTCTGACCATCCACATATACAATGTATATCTCTTGGAACATTGTTACAACATAAATAACACTGCTAAATAACACATGTGTCATGTGTCCAGAATGTTCCTGTCGCGATAGACTTCGTGCAAACCTACGTCTCACAGACTTTGAAGACTTGGTTCAAATCGTGAAATAGATGGTTTATGTTTCTCGATTTGTCCCTACCGTACCCGTGACCTTAACTGTCATATTCCATAACGCTATGACATGGCTGAAATACTGCTCAAATCTTTCACGCCTGTTATGCAACTAGTCTGTTCACAAATTCAGTTTCATTAACATTTGTCTGACATGAGTGCTGGTTTATTTCAGTCCCCCCAGAAATCGTTATCACCCCAGCAGAAAGGCGAATAAGGCGGAAGAAGGGCACCTCGGGATCGGTGTATTGCAAAGCCACGGGACTTTCAGACAAACAGCTGAAAGATGCCAAGCTCGAGTGGCTAGACAAACATGACGATATCATTGGACCGTACATGAAAGATGATCCCATACGCAACAGGTATATTGGTAATACTGTGCACCTGCTGCTGTCTCTGTGCAGTGATGTCATCTCGTGGAGTGCATGTTTATGTAGAATATGGATTTACTTAATTCAAGTCATTGAGGCTTGGCAGTAGAACGGACACCAGATTTGCGCAGTGCTACTTGAGGTGATATTCTGTATTTGTTGCTTATGCAAGGACCTTTGTGAAAACAGTTCCAAGGGTATATTGTATTGCCCCCTTTACGACGTCATTGAACGAAGAGCTGCCAATATGACGAAACACTGGCTATATCATAGTCGGTGTCAGGCACATGAGATAAGAACACCTGTAATACATGTTTTTTAATTTTCTGTGCCTATTTTATCTGTGTGCAGGGTCTACACAGTGGTATTGCCGGGTGCAACGCGTCTTCAGCTTGACCGGCTGACCAGTGGAGAGCAGGGGACATACACCTGCAGAAGTACAGTCGGTGGCAACATCATGATCAAAGACATTGAGCTCAATATCTACGGTAAATGACAAAAAGGCATCTGAGTGAGTGAGTGAGTGAGAGAGTGAGTGAGTCAGTGAGTCAGTGCGTGAGTGAGTGACTGAGTGAGTGAGTTAATGAATGCATAACATAACTTAACAGTTGTCCTAACAATAAGATTGTTTTCCAAATCGGGTACTGGCCACTCCAAGTAGATCATCAAAGAAGTATGAGTCTGTTTCCGAGATGACAGAAGGTGTGGACAAATGGTTATTCAATCAATGACACTGTCACGTTTCACTATAATCCAATTTAGATATTTGGCCACACTGCCCCATTCTAAATGAACAATTGCCTCACGTGATGTTACAAATGCGGGGCGAGGGGTAGCTTAGTGGTTAGAGAGTTTGCTCGTCTGTGCTCAAAGCCTTTTTCTTGCGTACCCTGACGTGCTGTTGCTGGAATATTGCTGACAGTGGCGTTAAACCAACGAAAAAAATGTAAATGTGAGTACGTACGTGTGTGTTCTGCATATTTGCATATATGCGTTTGTTAGCAATATGTCTGCAATAACTTCGTGATTTAGTCACACTGGACTGATGGTGCAAGTTACTGGGTACGTTAATTGGCTTCAGCGTAACCTCAGCGAGCCGTCCTGTCTACCTTTGTCTGCATGTTCTGTGCAGGTAAGCCAGACACACCCACGAATCTTCAAGCCGCAACTGTCGACACCAGATCCATTACAATCACCTGGGATAAAGGGTACAACGGAGACTCCAAGCAACGTTTCAACATAGAATACAGACAACGTGACGGACAATGGAACACCTTTCCCACCATGCCACGTGACCACCACGCCCTTGAACTGACACTGGGTGGTCTCAAGCCTGCAACAGTCCACGAGATTAGGATAAATGCTGTGAATAAATATGGTTCGAGTCGCTACGCGTCAGTCAATGTGACAACGTTTTGACAGGTAATGACTGTTTGTAATTATTCATGTGCAAATTACTTCTGGACTTGAAGGAAGTGGGAGTCAATGGTGATTTATGTTTAATAAAGTTTTCACAGAAAATAACAGAAGCTTCTCGGTTCTTTAAAAACGTTTCAAAATCAAATAATTATTTCTATGTGACTATGTTTTCGTACTAATCCTGATGTCAGAACTACACCGGTTCTCCTACATTCTGATGGCCCACAACCCCGACTGCCAGACCAAGGCAGGGTTCTCCTACATTCTGATGGCCCACCAACTCCGACTACAGACCAATGGTTCCCCACTACATTCCCCGACTGACCAGACCAAGGCAGGGTTCCCCTACATTCTAATGGCCCACAACCCCGACTGCCAGACCAAGACAGGGTTCCCCTACATTCTAATGGCCCACAACCCCGACTGCCAGACCAAGGCAGGGTTCCCCTACATTCTAATGGCCCACAACCCCGACTGCCAGACCAAGGCAGGGTTCCCCTACATTCTAATGGCCCACAACCCCGACTGCCAGACCAAGGCAGGGTTCCCCTACATTCTAATGGCCCACAACCCCGACTGCCAGACCAAGGCAGGGTTCCCCTACATTCTAATGGCCCACAACCCCGACTGCCAGACCAAGGCAGGGTTCTCCTACATTCTAATGGCCCATCAACCCCGACTACCAGACCAAGGCAGGGACCATGGCCCACAACCCAGGGTTCTGACTGCCAGACCAGGACAGGGTTCTCCTACATTCTAATGGCCCACCAACCTCGACTGCCAGAACAACGCAGGGATAACCTCACATTACAATGATGCTCCAACACCTGATGTGATAACTGCTTACATTCTGATGACATCAGTATGTTCATCAACGTGTTCACCAACGTGTTCATTCATTGAACGTGTTCATCAACGTGTTTATCGTATTCTTATCGAATTAGTATCATTATCTTCTTTGTTCCAAGTGGGGAGGTAACTTTACGGGTAAAGTGTTCGCCGTCATGAACAAGAGAACAGTTCGAATCCCAGATAGGGTATAGGCAGAGTATAGCATCCCAGTCCTGGTATGATTTGAATACTACTACAAGAAGCGGCGTTAACTGACGCACTATTGATATTTCCACAAACGTAATAAAGTCACATGAAAGTTAGATTACGGAATAACTATTCCTTAAGTTCAAAATGTGGAGCACCTTTAGAATACAGCACCACAACTTCTAGTGAGGACGTTCTCTACTGTAGGTTACATGTCACTGAGACAGGCAACCAGTTTGTGAGAATCCGTGGGACGCGAACCCGCGACCTTCGGATTGTTAGCCCGACAGCTAACCGACTGAGCTACGCCCACACTGTTCAAATTTATCGAGTCATTCATGTGACGTCACGGAAATCACCGGAAACATACGAAGTCTACGGTGCCTCGTGACTTAATACCACGGACATTGTCCAAGTTGTTCGGAAATGTCGGGTAACCATGGAAACTCATGACGTCATTCTTTTTTTGCCGGGAAACCTAAGCGTCGTTTCGCTCCTGACATTCAATGGGCAAACAGCGTAATTTACGATGGCAGGATCTTGGGAGGATTCGTTCGAAGATTTTGTGATGGAAAAGAAAGTGTGGCGCACGGGAGCAAGGAAGGAGAACGTGGTTCATAGGAGTAAGGATAAGAGGGCCAGGAATAAGGATGTGGTAGAGTGAGTGAGTGAGTTTAGTTTTACGCCGCACTCAGCAATATTCCAGCTATATGGCGGCGGTCTGTAAATAATCGAGTCTGGACCAGACAATCCAATGATCAACAGCATGAGCATCGATCTGCGCAATTGGGAACCGATGACATGTGTCAACCAAATCAGCAAGCCTGACCACCCGATCCCGTTAGTCACCTTTTACGACAAGCATAGTCGCCTTTTATGACAAGAATGGGTTGCTGAAGACCTATTCTACCCCGGATCTTCACGGGTCGGATGTGGTAGACACTGGGGAGGCGGATGGCAGTTTTCCTTTATTTTCAAGTTGTACGGATGCTCTTTGTGTAAGTTCATATGGGAGAGATATGGGGAGGGCTTCCAGGGTCATCACGTATGATTGGTTGCTCTTTAATGTATGTGTGACAATTTCGTGCTACTTTGGCTTGGTGCATGAATCGTGGGTTACTCGGTAACCATGTCACCTGTGATGTATGCAAGAGGTCGATGTATCTTGCAGAGGAAACTGGGATTCATCGGAGTAGTGACGGCATTCGTTGGGCTTGTCGTAGAACGATCGGTCGAGTTAGACATCAGTGTTACAAATCAATTCGAACTAAAAGCTGGTTCTCTGATGCTCGCATCAATATGGCTGAATGTTTGAACTTGATTTTTCATTGGTGTCGGAACCGCTCTCAGCTTGAGTGTCAGACTGAAGACGGATTTTCTTCAGCAACGACTTCTGACTGGTACAACTTTTGTCGTGAGGTGTGTGATAAGTCGGTCTATGGGAGAATGGAAACAAGTAAGTGGACCAGGTATTATTGTTGAGATTGATGAATCAAAGTTTGTCAAACGAAAGTATCATAAAGGTCATCATGTTGAGGGCAAGTGGGTGTTCGGAGGTGTTGAGAGTTTGGCCCGACATAAGACTTGTATGGTACCAGTAGCACGCCATGATGCTGACACTTTGATTCCGTTCATTAAGCAATGGATTTTACCCGGTGGAATTACCATTTCTGACTGTTGGAAATCATACAGTTCTCTCAATTCTGATCCGGATTACAAAATATGACACCTCAGCACCCCGTAATGCAAATTATTATGAGCGTAATAGTCAAAAAGAAAAATATGTTAAACTGGTGCTTGCAAATAATTGCGCATCCGCCGGTAAACAATTACTGGAAACTCTCCATATTGTTGGGCTTATTCAATGACATAGCCAATAGAGATGAAACATCACTGAGCGGAGCTTATACGCACTCTAGACAACCTTGTTGCTATGTAGGCGTCATAGGTTTCGAGAACCTCCTTTGGTGTAAGTCACACTAAATTACGTAAATAGGTAGTATGACGTATTTTTAAAGTTTTTGGTGCTGTATTTTAAAGGTAGGTCCAAAATGTCTGTAGATTGAATGGGTGGCAATGTATTGCGTCACGAAGTTGTCATATTGCCGAGTTTCTGATGCAGCGTTGTTGTTGAGTCAGTTGGGAATGAAATGGGGCGACGTTTGTAACGTCATACGATCCCTGCAACAACGCTGCAGCAGAAACACGGCCATTTAACCACACTCTTCTTCTGGTTCAAATCCAAAAAATCATTTACCGGATTACCTATAAAAGGTGAGATGTCACAATGATCTTTGCCTCTGAGTATATAATTTATGGCAGCAGCAAATAAATAAAAGACTACGCATCATATAGGGAAGCGCACGTAATATCTCCACATCACCATCGCCAGGACTTTGCACTCACGAATGTATAGGCTATTTCAGTCGAATATCCTGAATAAAGCACGTGTTCCGTTCTTGAATCAATCCAGGAAAAAATGTTCACATGAGGGGAAAGGACGGCAGTGTTCGATGGGCGTTTGCTCCCTCCGTGCTTTCCATGTAGATATGTTTGAGGTGAGATCGTAGAAGGCATCGAATTGCCTTCGTCTCGCCTTCATATACTCAACCAAACTAGAAACTTGACACACTTTAATTGTAATAATTGTGAGGGGGTCATTGTTTTTAGTTTCATACACACTACAATAATATCAAGGCTGTGTAAGCATGATCTAAGGGACCTACGTAAACATTCCAGTAACTATGCGTGAAACACAACAACCTGAATACATCAGCGATCGCACGTGCATTGGGATGCAACCACACAGACATTACGAAAAAGAAGAACGTATCAAAATTGCAAGTTGAAAAAATAGTGCGAATGTGCCATTACTGACAAATTAGCAACATTGGCGTGCCTCTGGTGGGCGTAATACTGGACTTTCCTTTGTAGCAGTTGTAGGAATCCTGCAGGCCGCGCTCCTCAAAGCGATCGTGGTGCTACGACGTAAGTCAGTGTTAAAGTATGGGAGTTACGATCATCTTAACGCTGCGATCGCTTAGTGGAACGGGGCCCTGGGCCGTATTTGTCAAATAATACACAGTGTGTGCGGCAGACCGGCACCATTGCGGATCGCCCAGACAGTTGTTCAGAGGTACACTGTCAGCACGAACATCAGGAAACGAGTGTACGCGGCAGGTACCCGAGCCAGACAATCGTACAGATGTCCTATCCTGACATCAATTTCTTAGTGTTTCACGTTTACGATGGGTCCGCAAATATACCAGATCCCACTGGAACAGATTGTATTCAGGGCACAGGTGTGGCACAGGAGGGGCACGTCATAGTCAGTGTCGTGTTCATGAGGTGTACTGAGTTGGAAGGAACATTGGTTTGGGGGACATTTTGCACCAACAGGCGATTTCAACTGTTTGTTGTCCAGGGAAATATTACTGCCATTCAGTATCAGGACCACGATTTGACCCAACTCCTTCTGTGGAGGTAACCAAGGGACAACGGTTAGTTCATCTCAATGAGAACAGAATAAGTCAGTGAGTTTATATCTAACGTCACATCGGCAAGTTTCAGCCATATCGTGACGACAATGAGAACAGAGGCTTGATGTGTTGCGCTGTAAAACTGTCGCTCGAGAGGTCGCTGTGTAGGCAACTTGAGTGTGAGTGAGTGAAGGAGGTTTAGAACAGTAAGACAGTGAGGACATATGAGGACAGGTGGAAGGCTCAGACTTTAGCACAATTGTAAAATCCGCGATGACGAGTATAGTCTGGTGCCCATGGCCATGGGCAGACAGGGATTCGGGTTGGAGGTCAGAAGTGCCTGGCACGCCGAGTGATTGGTTGATTTGTTCAACGCCGTACACGACAATATTCCAGTTATATGGCGGCGGTCTGTAAATAACCGAGGCTGGATCAGAGAATCCAGTGATCAGCATCATGAGCATCGATCTACACAATTGGGATACGATGACATGACTAAATCAGCGTGCCTGACTACCCTATCCCGTTAGTCGCCTTTTTCTACAAGCATGGGTTACTGAAGATCTATTCTAACAATACCACACCACAATGCCACA